AAGAAAAAGATAAGGATGTTTGAAATTAATGTCAAACGACTGCTCCAATATGGTTTAGAGACTTGGCGTGTTACGTAAACCATTTTCAACAGGCTGTTGCATACTTCCATCGACATCTGTCTTCGCTGTCGCGATAGTGAAGATCAGGCTAGATGGCCAGCCAGAAAGAATTAACAACAGGGAATTCTAGCAGTAGACGAACCAAGAACCTATTGCCCAACGAATATGTAAAAGAAATGGAAGTGGACTAGATATACGCTAAGTGAGTGACATCACACTCCAGGGCATCAAATGGAACCTGAGTAGGAAACAATGACTTAGGCATCTGAAGGTAACATGGAGAAAACTAGATAACGAGCAAATGAAAACTTCTGGACAATTAAGGAGACAGCTAAAAAATTGATGAGAAGAAGGTGAAACCGCGATATGGTTCTGAAGCGCTTTGTTCTAATTCTATATTAGTGATCAGGATATATGGTAGTCTCCGGAAAGTGCACAAAAAGAATGCCCTGATGCAACCAATCTTAGATGTGAATTATTATTATTGTTCCCTTGGGTTCCTAGTGGAACATAGGGCTTCAACTGCACGCCTCCACTTGCTTCTGTCTTCTGCTGTACTTTTAATCTGCATCCATGTTAGTCCATGCTGTCTCGACTCTTCTTCACACGATCTCCTCCATGTCACCCTTGGACGTCCCACTCGCCGCTTCCCTTTCGGGTTCCACTCGAGCATTGGCCTGACGTGCGATGTCACCCAACGGCCTCCTCAGCGAGTGTCCAGTCCATCTCAACTTTCTCCTGCATATTTGTTGAGCGATTGGTTCTTATTTTGTTTCTTCCCATAGTTTCTTGTTGGTGATTCTTCCCGGCCATCTGATCTTCAGTATAGAACGAAGACAGCTGTTGATAAATGTCTGCAACCTGTTGGAAATATTCTTTGTGACCCGCCAAGTTTCTGATCCGTATAGAAGAACTGACTTGACGTTTGTATTGAAAATCCGAATTTTGTTGTTGATGCAGGCTGAGTGACGAAGATTTCCAGATTGGTTTCAGGTTGATAAATGTGTTTCTTGCCTTCCCGATTCTCGATTTGACATCTTCGTCCGTTCCTCCTGCAGTTGAGACAATACTCCTTAGATAAGTGAATGAAGTAACCTCTTCCAAATCCCTCCCGTTGATGGTGATTGGGGCTGGATGTTGCTGCTGCTGTTGTTGGTTTGTTGGTTATTTTCATAACCTCCGTCTTGTCTCTGTTCACCTGGAGTCCTGTCTTTGCTGCTTCTTCGACCAGTTTGTCGGTTTTCGCTTGTAAGTCTTCGATTTTGTGTGACATCAAACATAAATCATCCACGCGCGAAATCCATGTCTTCTAGGTTCTTCACTTCGGTCCAGGATATCCCTGTCTTCTCGTTTCCCACTGTCTGACGCATAATCCAGTCCACCACAATTAGGAATATCATTGGTGATAATAAGCACCCTTGTCTGACTGCTGTGTTTACTCGAAACGCCTCGCTGAAATTTCCGTTGTGGATCACTTGACATGTGCCGTTGTCGTACAGTTGTTGAATAAGGTTGATAAATATTTGGGGTACGCCGTAGTACTTGAGTAGTTGCCCAATTACTTCGCGGTCAACGCTGTCGAAGGCCTTCTCAAAGTCTATAAAGTTGAGGTAGAGGTTTGATTGCCATTCCATGCTTTGTTTGATGCACTCATCATATTGCTAAACGGCTCGCAGATATTCTTCTACAAGTCACAAATAACCTCAATCACCATATTTTTTCAGATTTATTTGAATCCATTAATTTAATATGTAATTTCGCAGATGATATATGTATAATGTCACACAAACTCGAAGACTTGCAGGCAAAAACCAATAAACTGACTGAAGAAGCAGGCAGCGAAGACAGGACTCCAGGTGAACATAGAGGAGATGGAGGTGATGAATATAACCGACGAACAGCAACAACAACCAGCACCAATCAATATCAACGGGAAATTTGACAGAGGTCACTTCCTTCGCTTACACAGGAAACATCGTTTCAACTACAGGCGGTTGGAACGGCTCAAAATGTCAAAGAAGGCCAGATACGCTTCCGTCAATGTGAAAGCAGTTTAGAAATATTTTGCACTCAGCCAGCATAAAGAACAAGATTCAACACAAATGGGTCAGAAACTTGGCCAGTGTGTGACGAAAAGGATTTCCAACAGATGACTGCAGACTTTCATCAACAGCTGCCTTCACTGACTCCATACTGAAGATCAAATGGCCGGCTAGAAAGAATTAGAAACAATAATAAACAAGGATGATACCTTCAACATAAGTAATAAAGATGCTGACATCAAAATCACAATGGAGGACTTCAACAATCAAGTTTACACTGGAATCCAAGATGAAATCTAATTTTTTTGCATGTTTTATTCAAAATGAATTGTAATGATTTCTCTTCAGAGATTAGTTTACAGGAAAAGATCAGCAACAGAGATCTCTGGGAGCGAACCAACCAAGAACCGATTGTGAAACAAACAGGCAGGAAGAAATGGAGATGGATTGGCCATACTCTGAGGAAACCATCAAGTGACATCACTAGACAAGCCATTGCTCGAGTGGAACCCGAAAGGGAAGCCGCGAGTTGGTCGTCCAAGGGTGACTTGGAGGAGGTCATGTGAAGAGGAGATGAAAACGTGTGGGCAGACTTGGAGCCAGGTGAAGACTCTAGCAGAGAACCGAACGCAATGGAGACGCGCGGCTGAAGCCCTATGTTCCTCTAGGAATTAAATGAAACAATAATAACATGGGATGGTCAATATACTAATTTTCATAGTTGGGCGCATCTGAATAGGAAGAGAAACCTGTTCAACTTCTTATCGTCACCAATAAGATGGATATGCACCAATGATACAATAGATGATGGACTGGAGAAACTTAGACAAATCCTCATTCAAAACAGATACCCTACACGATTCGTCGACGAAAAAAAATGAAAGTAAACCAGAGGCTTGAAAGAGTCTACATGGTGCTGAAGAAATTACTGTTCATGAATCTTGAATTTAAAGGTGATACCACGGCCGAGACTCTTTTCAGTTGGATCCTCAGCTATGTTTTACTCTTATATATGTATATATATGCTACGTTTTGCTGAGGTGATCGCCATCAAACGATTAAAACCAAATCTATGTACGTAAAGAGACAGTGGTAAATATTGCATCACCATTATTATTAAACTCATGAAACGAAGTTATGCAGCTTGATTACTTCTATTTGGAAAATTTTATTTTTCCTGTGAACATCACTCACCTTTTGCTATTTTATAGAAGCGTATTTTTTCCTACACTGACATATCCACTATACTTAGAATAGATACAGTTGGTAAATTTCGTCATGAACTAACATCATTTATAGAGGGGTTATTGAAAACCAAGAAGTACTGGACAGCTGTTTCGTCCTACTTTGTGATCCCACAAGGGGTCGAACTCAGGACGTTCACATTATGAGACCAAGCTCGTTAACCACTCAGCCACTTGAGCGGGAATTCAATGTCCCATGAATCTTAACTTTGTCAATTCAATGATGGTAGGGTGGAGTAGGTACTCATCCTGAGTACGATCCCTGGTGGGTTCGTGAGTGCACACTGATGAAGAGTTCCAAAATAAGACGAAACAGCTGTCCAGTGCTCCATGGTTTTATATGATACCCTAACTGAAAATCGTTCGTGACGAAATCTAACAATTGAAAATACACTCTAGAGTTAATCTTTGTTTCTATCCAAAAAAATATTTTGAACTCTTTCCTTTTAGAACAACACATTTAAGCGAACAATATTGTTTTCAATTAGATCTTATCAGGCTTATGTTACTTACGGTTCCTATCAATTACTCCTTGTCATCGTAAAAAGAAGTATGTTCAAACTCTTTCTTTTTGTAATGTATACACATTTGTATTGTTCAAGTTGTAGCCAGCTAGCTGAGAAGAAACCATGAAAGAATAAAGGCATGAGGTCATATTATCCTGCTACACATTTATCGTTCTTGCTTTGTTAAACTGCCTCATTAACTTAAGCACTCAACTTATAGCTAATAGATCCCGGGCTAGAAACTCTCTCCACCTACTTCATTTCAGGCAACTGAGTAGTACCCACTATCAGACATCACACAATCAATGTGCTTCATAGCCCGGTACCGGGTGGATGAGTTCTATCTAGCTAACTAATGGGAAGAATTGTGTAAAGTGTATGAGATTATCGAGCAATAATATTTCATCTGTAAATCAAGAAGTATAACACAGCTTGAGGTATAACAAAAACTCTATTCCATTTGATGATATTAGATAGTTGGAGGCAATCGGCAGGAAGCCCAGTCTGACCTAGGTTTCGTGCTAGTTGGCACTCACCAGCCAGCAAGGCGTATCTGCAACCTTGAAGGAACTCATGTCCCACCCCTCTGAGATTCGAACCCGCGTCACCCAATGCTGAAGTCAGAGACGTTACCACTAAGCTATTCGGGCCCGCGATTGACCTCCTATAGGACTGTAGTGGGTATTTTGATTGGACACTAGTAACTAGTGCGACTGAATGTGCACCGTGATGGTGAGCTACCTAGAATGGTGGCCACATTGCAAACCTGACTGATAGAATTCAGTCTCCACCAAAGAAAGGACTAGACACGTCGCACTAGTTACTAGTGTCCAATCAAAATACTCTATTCCATCAGATAAGAAAAAGCCTGTTGGAGCGTTACCAGTTCTTCTTAGTAGTCAGCCAGAAATCCGATGGCTAGAACTGATTTGGCTGCCTGTGCTAAGTCAAATCGGGTACACCGCTGATGAACCAGGCCCAAAACGAGCGGAACGAACCTCCAGTAGTATTTAGATCACTTCGATCTGGTCGGTTGGTGAATACTACCAGTGGTTCATACGAGTGGTACACAACTACTTATTTCAACCAATCAGTAGTATATGGTGTTATGAAGATTTAAAAGACTATAGAGTTCTGTATTTCATAAAGTCATATTAAAAAAAGTACAATTTCTATCAGAAGAAAACTAAAAAAAGAAGTTATTACACAAGGTAAGAAGATATGTGCATAAAATCATGACTAATAAAATATGGTTTGGCACAGACTATGTACAAGAAATGAATGTGAATATATACCTACTTTTGTTTTTATTTGTTACCTCCTAAACTTGAAAACATTTTAGCTAGCTTTGCAAATGCATACTGTAAGGATCGTTTAGGTCCAGCTGAGATTAAACCTAAACCAGTTTGATATAGACTAGACCACCGAACTATACTAGATACTGTATTACACAATCTTTGATTCCGTTCTGTATGCGATAGATTGGCTAAAAATTCACGAGCTTTAGCAGGATTATCAATAGAATGAATATCATCTTTAACAGATAATAAACATATATGATCAGGTATATTGGTTAATAAGTGAAGAATAATTTCAGCATTTTCATTGGAACATACAAGGCAATAGGAGGATTCACGTTCGTCTAGTGACGATTTTGACTGAGTTTGAATAGAAAAACCATATGATTCAAGGGAATTCAAGGCGTTTCTATACAGGGAACGAAATTCACCTAGTCGATTGTCACCGTATACTAAACGTTTGATTTTCTGACGATCTTCGCCAATAATCATACGCCAATCACCAGTGTAAGAGATTGATGCAATACTACAGTATAAATCATATTCACTAATCGGAAAACGCTTTGGATAGTTTAAGAGAATTGCATAGGACATAGAAGCAAGAAGATTTTTATTTTGTAATGTATGTAATTGTTCAGCATAACTTTGAGATGAGGATAGCTTAGAGTCATCAGATATCCATAAGACAGGTTTTTGAAGACGTCCAGCTATGTAAAGATGTGACCATGTCGATAGGTCAGATAGGATACTTTGAATTCCAACAACACCATACTTAAATGAAACTTTTTTATTGTTATCAAGTGGATCATTCCATTCAATGAAAGGATTATAATAGACTTTAGGACCAGGAGCTTGACAGAGAAACATTTTGAAGTAGGATGATTGATATGTCTTGGAGAAACTGCGAAGTAAGGTGTTGTAATGGTTAGGATTTTCGGAGATATTCTTTAAATGCCATTCAACAGGATCATGAGCAATAATGATTAGGTCGATTAGTGAATTACTTGTTGTTCTGCCTTTCTGTGGGAAGACTACAGATCCATAAGCAAAAGACGCCACATAGTTACTGCGATCTTTGTTGAGAACATCGATAAGACGCTTAATCTTTCCGATCAGTTGTTTGTCCACCATGATCTTGTTGACCAACAGATATTTTCTTAATGTTTATGACGGTCCCTGATTTGATGTCCTCCAAGCGTCTTTGACCTCTACGTAGGGCAGCTTCAATACCAAAAGTGTCTGTCTTTTTATAGGCAGCTGCTTGAGATCGAAACTCGGAACGAATAAATTCTCTAAGTTGACTGGGATTAGAACTTCTGTTCGAGGAAATGTTGTTGTTATTTTCTGACTTTGATTTAGTTTCTATTTGTTGAACAGTTCGTAAAAATTCTCGATATAAGCGAATAACTTCAAGCTGAAGTTTACTGTGACGAACACTCATAAAATTATGTCTAAAAGTTAAACAAAAATAAAGGGGAAATATAGTAAATTGCCACCAATTCGGTTTTAAAACAAACAAATTTAAGGTGGTCTGGCTAGTGTACACTGAGATTCAGATTCATCTCTACGGTGACCCTATAGAAATATACTGAAGTTTAAAATTATTTTTACACTTAATTATTTTGTAGAGGTCAATTGAAAAATACCAAAAGAAGTAACAAATATTGGGATGCCAGTTGTCCCTACTTTTGTCTAATTTAACTATATATTTACTAAACGAAGTGACCTTACCTGAATTTAGCGACTTAGGCATTGACTTGTTACAAGGGAACAGTCTTTTGAAGTTAGAGTATGAGGAAATGAAGACGCTGACAAAATACAGAGTCTTCTCAACACCTTGACCAGAAATTTTAAAATGTTTGGCATGAAATATATACGATGATGCTTCAGGACTGAACCATATCGACTCCTACCTAAAAGGTAGGGAATGAAGGGTAGATAGTGTCGAAGACTACACTTATTTGGGAAGTTACGTTAGCCCTAATTAACCAACAACCATCGAAGGCAGAAGACTTGAGGAGACTAGTTTTCATACTGAGCCACCGCCTTCCCCGACAAGAAATGTTAGCTGATATAGGATTAGGTTGGAAAAGAGTTAACGGTGGTGAAACCAAAACCTAGCATCAATTTATGAGGACTTCAACAGTTGGTTTGAGCCACATACGAAAGCATAGACTACTGAATTGGAGTCCTCAGGATGGTAATAAGCAATGGTTGGAAACTTATTGGGGATATGGCTTAAAATCGTTCTCAGTGGCGTAAATCCATTCACTCTTTGCGATCTCTCATATCCTCTACACTGTCGTATTTTTCATGTTACTATTCTTCCTCCTGCATACTTATTCTTATTATAGTTCTTTTCAAATCTCTTTTTCTTTCTTTACCTTTGTGTGCTACATAGAGTTTGGAAAATTGGAGCTGCTGAACTTCTGTGCAAAGTTCTCTGGTGAAACTCAGTCAGTCAGTCAGCCAACAAGTATTGGTGTTGATAGTAAAACCAGAGTATTTCATCTCACTAATTACGTCAAAAGAATATTTTCTAGTTTATTTAAAACGTAAATATTACATTATGGATACCAAGAGTTGTTCCGCACAAAACAACAACATAGACTAGGGAGAAACAAACCAATACTTGAATATCAATGAAATGCTCACTAGCGACTGGCCCTATTCACGTAGGTAGTTGCCTGGGGTTCTAGTGCGAAGTCGTGACCAGTGGGATGCAGCAGGTCGGGTGTGTGGACAAATAATCGCCGAAGACATTGGCTAGTGGTAGCACTTTGTCGTGAATTGGCAGAAGTTAGAATTCATGGACTAGCCATTGGATCGGGTCCCTGTGGCTCAATGGTCTACGAGCTCGCCATGTCACGAGAAGGTCTGAGGTTCGAACTCTGCAGTGTGGGTTCGTACTTTTGAGGAGTCGCAAACTAGGCTGGCGAAACAGCAGTCCAGTACTCCTTGGTGGTTTTCCAATGGTTCTCTAACTGATGTCAGCCCATGGTGAAATCCTGTAACCAATCAGTCAAATCCCTACAAACTAATACTTGAAGAAACAAAATAGTTGGAAAACAAGAAGGCATACTTTTCACGAAAAATCAAAAGCGCATTCGTTACTTCAGAAATAAAAAAGGAAATTTCAGCATATTCGCCATTGATTTAGACTTTAGGCAACATTTCATGACGTCTCAAGCCACTGAACTGCAAGATTTCTCATGCCTGAATCAGGGAGTCTTGGTACATTAATATGTGAACAATGATATTCACTACTTTTCCAAACACATACCGTCATACTTCAGAATTGCTTACAATTATTCAGTGATGCCACTGGAGGTAAGCTACTTCATAGAAATACTGATGGTTCAACAAACCGAGTCGCTGCACATCCTCGGCTTGGAAAATTCCGGTCTCACTGAAGTAGATCAAGGTTAAACACCGAAGAGTCGTAAAATCGACCTCTGACAGTCTAATTTATATCACGATAGTGTCAGACAGGACTCAAGCTGATATATGTTGCCCTGGTTTTCACTACACGATTAAAGTTTCTACCCTTTGCACATCTTCAGAATATCAAGTATAGTATGGTTAGGGGGGGAATGATGAAATTAGGTAACTTTTCTTAACCCTACTCTACTAGAGGTATTACTATACAAAGCTTTCAGTATTCAAAATATTTTTCTAAAAGACGACAATTTTTCTTTTTTGGTTACGGGATTTCATCATGAGCTGACATCAGTTAGAGAACCGTTGGAAAACCAGGGAGTATTGGATAGCTGTTTCGTCCTAGTTTGGGGACTTTTCATCAGTACACACCCACCAGGGTTCGAACCCGGTGGAACATAGGGCTTCAAGTTAGAGCGTTGAAGTTTCGGTAGCAGTGAACTTGTTTTCTAGAGGTGGGGTTGCTAGCTTCACGCCTAACCTTTTCTCTTTACCAGCCCTACGACCGGCTTGGCGAGGTTTGGGAGTGCGTTGACCGGGGATCGAACCCCTGACCACGCGAGGAGTGGCTGGCGAGCATTCTACTGCTGAACCAACGACGCACAAAAGACGATAATGCCAAATACATTTTTATTAAAACACACACTTCACACGTTATAGGCATCAAGAGATGCTCCACATCAAATCTCATAGTTTGTCTGAAGGGCTGGGATACTGCCCAGATGCTTAGAGAGAAGCAGGCGGTTGTCTTAAAGGGCCACCCTGTGAGCCTTTGACATGAAATCTGATCCTCAAGGCAATGGAGCAGAGTCAGGAGCTACGTTCTCATGGTTAACGGTAACCAAAACAGGTTCATACGCCATTCGATCTTTTCGGATTCCGGAGCCCACGTACACGATAATGAAGCTAATCTGAAGAATGTCATTTATTTATTTATTTATTTAAACGCATTAAAACTTGGTACAATATGGCACCAAGAAGGATGCGCCACACAATAATAATAAAACAACATAGATGAAAAAAAGGAAGGCAGGAAAAGAAAAAATATATATAAGTAGAGAACGAATAATGAACTTCATCTGGAAGGAAAACACTCATTCTTAACAGGTTCAAACAGTGTTCGTTAACTATCATCGGGAATGGAAGAAAGAAGGAAATCGCAACACATTCGCCATTGATTACGATTCTTGGCCATATCCGATAACGTTTCGAGCCATCGATTTGAGCTATCTCTCAGACCCCAACCAGGGAGTCGTGACACACCAACCGATGCTAATCTAACACAAATATCCTTCATCCCACGACGCCACGTCATGGGCTGACCACCCCTCCGCCTTTTCCAACCCGTCCCAGGGCTAGCGAACAGAGACCTGTACGGAAGCCTCTGGGGTGACATTCGCAGCACATGTCCAAGCCACCGGAGCCGGTGTTTCCAGATGACGACATTCAATGAATGGTGATCTCCACTGTGTTCAAACACACGCCGCCGAACCTCAGAATTACTCACGCGATGATGCCATCGAACGCAAGCAATCCTGCGGAGACAGCGGTGATCGAACACGCAGAGTCGCCTCACATCCTCAGCTCGGAGAGGCCAGGTTTCACAGGCGTAGAGCAGCGCAGCCCGCACCGAAGCATTGTATACCCGACCTTTGACAGCCAGGCTAACGTCGCGACGGCGCCAGAGGTGGCTCAAGTTGATGTATGCCACCCTAGCTTTCATTATACGGTTGGAAATCTCATCCGTCACCCCTCCGCCAGCACTCACACAACTACCTAGGTACACAAACTTATCGACAACTTCAAGCGGTTCACCCGCAAGAGTGAGTGCAGGTACAGGCTCCTGCCAATCTTGTAACAGTACTTTGCACTTAGACGGCGCAAAGCACATACCATACTTACAGACACTGATCGCCAACTGATTGAGTGCGATTTGGGCAGCCTGCATGCTATCGCACAGTAAGACGATATCGTCTGCATACTCGAGGTCGAAAAGTCTATCTCCAGGTAGCAGATCTACACCACCTTCACGCACATCCTTCAGAGCTGACTCCAGAATGTCATCGATGGCAAAGTTAAAGAGAAATGGTGAGATTGGGCAACCCTGTCTAACCCCACTGTTGGTTGGGAACAGTGGTGATAGTTGGTTGTATGCCCTCACTCTACCTGAGGTGTTTCTGTATAGGGCTTTCAAGATGTTAACAAATTTCTCAGGTACACCTCTCTCTAACAGACAGTTCCAGAGCACAGTTCTGTCCAACGAATCGAAGGCAGCCCTAATATCAAGAAACACAACGATCGTTGGCCTGCAATACGTGTGGCGGTGTTCCAACAACTGACGAAGGGTGAACACATGATCAATGCATCCACGACCTGAACGAAACCCAGCCTGCTCTTCGCGAATCAATCCTTCGCGTATTTTGCACAGTCTGCGAAGCATGACAGCAGCCAATATTTTAGACGCAACTGGTAACAGACTGATACCCCTATGGTTGTCACAGGAATTACGTCGACCCTTTTTAAAGATGGGGACGATAATGGCTTCGTTCCACATTGATGGTACGCTCTCTGTCTCCCACACCCTCCTGAACAACCCAGTTAGAGCCATTATGAGAGTCTCGCCACCATCTTTAAAAAGAGCCGGGGGTAATTTGTCTGGGCCGGGCGCCTTATGGCGTTTCAGAACTTGGAGTTCCTTACGGACCTCCGCTTCGGTGGGTGGGTCGGTACTAACCGACCAAGGAGCACTCGGGCTAATGATAGTAGACAATGAAGCTGGTGGCCAGCTGAACTGCTTCCCGAAGTGCTCTGCCCAGCGTTCCAGGCGTCTCTTCAGGCTGGTAATTGGAGTGCCATCTGCCTCACAGACCGTCTCGCTGACACCTTGTTTCTTGCTGCCGGTGGCTCGTATGAGTTGGAACAGCTTCCGACTGTTGCCAGATGCAGCAGCTGACTCCATCTCATACGCACGTTCTGACCACCAGGCTTCGCGGTCCTTACGTAAACACTGTCTAATCTTGCGCGTGAGCGCCTTTCGCTGATTGTTGTATTCACTGCCAGCCGGAATGGACCGGCGTTCATCCATGAGTTGCAAGGAACTCGCAGAAACCCAGTGGTTGTTAGCGGAGCATTCTTTCAAGCCGCAAGCGGCTACACTCGCCTTTTGCATGGCACCTTGCACATGAAGCCAGTGTTCATCTATACTACTTGGGGGGTTGCTGGCAAGCATTGTTTTCAACTCGTTCTGATATTTCAAAGAAGTAGCAGGTGCTACTAGTTTGCTCACATCAACGCTTAGACGACGGTTTTTACGAACCCCACCAAATCGCAAGACGAACTTGGCACACACTAACGCATGATCGGAGTCCAGGCATGTGCTCCAGAAGGAGCGACAGTCTTGTATGCATCCTCGCCACCGGAAACTGACCGCAATATGATCAATCTGAGTCCAAGCTTGCTTCGCAGAGGGAGGACGCCAGGTAGCGCTACGGCGATGGCTGTGCCGGAAGTTGGTGCTGGCTAGAAATAGGTTGTGATCCGCGCAAAGCTGCAGAAGACGGTCCCCATTATCTGACCTGCGACCATGTAGTCCCCACTGACCACCTAGACGACTCTCCTCTGAGCTTAGACGCCCGACCTGTGCGTTCAAGTCCCCAGCTAGCACTACGATATCCCTCCGACCCGCCTGTTTCAACAGATCGCTCAGTTGGTAGTAAAACTCATCCTTCATTGCATCCGGGCTGCAATCCGTCGGTGCATAGGCAGAGACAACAAATAGACACCGCCTATCTGGCCTACTACTCCTTACTTTCGTATAACCTTCCAGCCTCACAGCACATAAACGACTGTTAATGGGAATCCAGTCGAGCAGTGCAGCTTCGGCTCTAGCGCTCAGTGCGACACCGACACCAGCTACGCCGGATGCTGATGCCACAGGGTCCCCGGATAAGCGCAGGTGGTACATACTACTAGAACTTCCAGATGGAGAGGACAGTCGAAGCACTTCACTGGGATCTTGAATGCGGGTCTCCGAAATGCAGCAGACATCGATAGCGAGGCTTTCCAAAGTTCTTGCCAACCCTGCCTGTTGTCCGATTTGCATCAGCGTCCGAACATTGTAGGTAGCCAGCTTGAACGCAGCACGCGGTTTCAGGATATCTGTGTTAGAAGTCACATTGGGGACAGCCATTTTGAGGACTACTCACTAACATCTCGAAACGACACAGATAGGCTAGGAATCCAAACAAAGGCGAAAGGCTGTCGAAGGTTAAGAAGTCAAGGTTAGGAAAGGTAAAATACAGGAAACTAAGTATAAAAATAAAAGTAAGGTTGGAAAGAGATATACCAACTGGGACATCATTATTGCTTGAGAGCATTGTTAAGAGCGCGCGATGAGTTTCACTGATAGTTCGTTGCTTCATTTAATTAATTGTGTGAGGGCTGAGATACTGCCCGGGCGCCCAAACCGAAGCAGGTGGTTTTCTTAAGGGACCACCCCCCGAGCCTTTGACTTGGAGTCTAATCCGCAAGGCAGCGGAGCAGCGTCAGGTGCTGCGTTCCCATGGTTGCCGGTGACCCATATGGGTTCGTACGCCATTTGATCCTATTGGATTCTGGAGCCCATGTACCCCATGGTAACTGCTTTTAGTCTAACCGCTATCCAAACAACCTTCCTGGCATGGTAGGACCTGCAGGGACATGAGTCCCAGCCAGTTTAGCTTGTTGGGTCACTGCGGCATTCAAGCCCGACCACCACGGCAAGGTAGCAGTTATCGGCCGGGGAAAAAAAAAAAAATGTCATGGCGTATAATAGCAGTAGAGTATTTTTTTCTCATTAATAAATATTTCCAAAGACTCTGTTTATGTATCGAAGAAATATGGGAGTGTTTTAAAAGCAGAGAATATCTATAGTGTCGTATTGTTTTACTATTAACAATATGGGTTTTCAAGTCTTCTGACCTCAAAAGGCCTGTCCATAAGCTTGATTGACATGATCTTAGACCATTGAGACTATCAATGCTAAATTATCTGCTATACCCACTTCGAGGAAAACTATTTACAATGTGAGCAGTCAAGTGGTGTCGGTAACCCCAAACACCTTGACTCTATCTCCACTATTAACAACTACTAAATTTATGAATTTTGTTTATTTTCTCTACTAGTTACCCTTTCTCACCTCCACACACGTTGCTAGAAATCTATGTACGAGAGAAATTTCAGACTACACAAAAAATGCGCCCAAAACTATCTACTGTAGCTTCCAAGCCTCGTACATTATAAAACCAGAAAAGATGCCCTAATAGCTAGAACTCCTAAAACTCATATTAACATAGTTTACAGACATAGATGATTATTTACAAGATCTCATTTGGTCACTGTAACAAAACTGCTACATATCGAAGATTTGTTAGTCAGTTCCATATGTTGCAAATTTAATTGTAGGAAAAACACATATTGACTGTATTCTTATCAATATTTACCCAGTTCTTGCCTAGTAGAATGTAAATGCTGCAGGAGCTTAGGAATAAGGGTAAAAAAGTTGATATTTGTCTGAAATTTTGGCTTACACAAATTGTGACTAATGTGGACAAAGTAACCTACTATACCAACAAGCTTATATAGTTTTATAAGAAGCCACATATTGAAATGAAGAGATTGGAGTTGGTTGTTAAGATGATTAAATAGGAATAAATCATTTTGAAAGACATCTGCATAGTGCCTTCAGAAATCTAACTGAGAGAAATCATAATGGTATTTCTTGTTAAACTTGTGGTTACTTAATTCTGAAGACCTGCAACTTTGTTCAGTAATGGGAAACACCAATTGATTTGTCAGAGTCTGAAACTAATTTAGTTATTAGGACTCAGAAACTATCACTGTCCAGTCATAGAAGTTCAATGGATTTAAGCAGTTTCACTCAAACCAATATTTTTATGAAAGGCCACCTCCTATGGAACAAAGCATTACAGCTGAAGAAAGAAGATAATACACAAATACGATTAGCACTAAGCACTATGAAGATATTGAAAGGCGTAGTAGTACGTAACTTCTCATAGCTTTGAATCTTACGAGTGAAGGACTCAGCAATTAGGGAGGATATTGTTGAAAACATAGGAGACAATGATTAACGTTTTAAAGAAATGAGTAGAATAATTTACAAATGTTTAGTCAGTATCTAGTTTCTTTTCAGTGTCACGATGAGAAAAGCATAGGAAGATTACATCCGTTTCAGGTCTAAAAGATTAGTCTGTGATAGGCCTTTAAAAGTAATTAGAGTGACTCAGTGTAACAAACATAAACAATAACTGAGACAAAAGAGATTCAAATCCTTCTGATGGTCTCCCTATTCTTGCATTGGCATTCTATCCTTCGTCGAAAGTATGTGTAAATAAAAAAGCAGTGCAACCAGTATGATATTATTTATAATAAATATTCAGAGTAAAAAATCGGAAAGGCGGATGTTAATAGACGACAGTGCATCTTTGGGCTTCCTGTAAAAAATGAATTACATTTTAGCATTCCAAATTTCCATAAGTCAGTTAAGGCTCGCTGACTGAACTCAAATGAGTTTTCAGCATATAACTTTCACAAAAGTGCAGCAGTTCAGGCTGCCACACTTCATGGAGCACATACAAATGTAGCAAAACACGGAATGCAAAATACTGTGACGAGTGGAAATCTACGGGAGGACGAATAATTACACGGAGAATAATCAGGATTTTATGCACCGAGGGGATAACAAGCACTGAATGCATCCAAACAAGTGAAAACAATTTTGAGTATGTCACTAGCAGTCTTTAGCTGTTGATTATTGGTGTCTCGGAAGAACCGAAGCCAGTCAGTCTACCTGGCTCGAACGAATAGCTGAAGACCTCATGAATTGTTTCGATTTGACCACTCCTAATTCTTTTCTAATATAACCTTATGTTGACTAACATTGGTTAGCGAAGAAGGCGACGGCTTGGCATGTGTAACATGTGTCCTAGCCACCTCAACTGATATAGAGTCACAACCTCATCGATCGACTAACTCTCATTACCTAACACTACGCATAACCTCAACATTACTCACCATATTATACAACTCAACACAAGAGATAGAGAGCAAACATCTGTAGTCATGGATATGCAGCCTTTCCATATCTTTCACTTCTATCAGCCACATTTGACAGCAATAAAGAAGGACAAAGCGAACTGTTGCGTAGTACACACGTCCTTTAATCAACAGCCGGCCATCACGTCTACGCCAAAGATGATGAAATTTAGCTAATGGCAAGTGAGTCTTTCACATCCGGGCTGAGATTTTGTCAGCAATTATTCCATTAGGGCTAATGCAACTTCCTAAATAAGTAAAATGTTCAAAATGCTGAACAATTTCACCCCCCCCCCTCGATTCCGTGAATTTCAGTTAAACTTGCGGTTTCAAACTATCATTGTTTTTCGGACTATCATTATTTTGTGAAACAGCAGGGTGTTTACTCATGTATCTTGCTTCTAAGCAAGCAAACACAATTGTGACACTGATTTATGATTTCGAAAACTTGTCTGACCCATAATTTTGCCAGAATATGCTAAGCATTTCAGTCGATTATAATAAATTAAAACCTATGAATTTTCATATAGATTCACGTTGTAGAGGACTATTCTCATGTCCTTTCACCAATGACACTGAGACAATAAAAATGAAGTCAAATTTGGTTACATATGTTTTGAATTTCTATACTGCAGCATATATTTCATCTGTAATATCGAGAATTATATTATTGAAAACGAAGATGGCGTGACAGAGTGGAAATTCGGAGCAGGGGGCCATGAAGGTCAAAAGTGGCATGCAGCGGATACATCTACTACTTTTCAGATTAGAGTCAACATAGTAAAAGGAGTCGTTCACAAAGAGGAATGTGTCAAACTTTGCTGTTTTACGCAGCCAGAAGTTGAGTCCAAATTTAACAATGCTAGGACAAATTATATAACTGGGTATATATCTCAATAACGAAATTCACTTGAAAATATGTTCGCTGTAACATATTGACCGTAATATGTATCTGGTAAGCAGTATGACAAGCAGATGTCTGTGATAAGAAACATTACAGTACAGGCACAGGCAACTGGTAGGCTAAATTCAGCTGAATACACAAATTTACCACAAACACTGACATAATTTAATATTTCTGAAGACTATTAAATCACATTTAACTATGCCGAAATTGTTCCTACCATTTTCGCTCCCGATTGCCAAAGTGTTTAGAGTTTTGCTAGCTGGGTAATTGTAACGTGATGCGACCGAAAAGTAAAATACCTATTCTCTCCTGATGGGTTAATGGAAAAAATTGAAAAACAAGCTAAATCAAAGTTCTTAGAAAAATTCGAAAAGAATATAAACAATGCACATAATTTGAAAACACTTAGTCCCGTTTATAAATTTGGATAGCGTTATTAGAAGATGGAGATTATCTGAAAAATGTGATGTATTTGCACCTTTTCAGATGCACTATCGAAAGGTTAGATGGACTTCTTAACCTGAAGTGTAAAGTCGCATATGAAAAGGTGCAAATACATCACATTTTTCAGATAATCTCCGTATTTTAATAGCGCTATCCAAATACACAGTAAACTTATTTGTGAACATATACCAAAATACTCACAATAATCAACGGTAGCGCAACTAGTTAAACTGCGAGGTAAGGTACAGATGTTCAATATCCAACATCGTTTTTACGGGCTGGACATATATATCACGTTCTGTTAAGATTTCGCTTGGAAATTCTTTTGGCAATAATTTTTAATAAAATTGTGCTATATATTATCTGGATTGATGGGAATTCCCATTTCCTGGCTAGTTTTGTTGGTGTCCGCGTCATGTGATCTGACTGTGGCACACTCTTAGCATATTGGTTGCAATGATTAGTGTTTCAGGCGGACTGTGTCAAAATATCGGTATAATGAGGAAGATAGTATAGTTGGAGGGTAATGTCATTTACACAAATCGTTTACTCCATGTAGAAGCTGCACCTTTCGGCATAGTATCATTCAATGAAGACTTCACGTCTCAGGATATTAATTCAGCCTATTTTCGTGTGAAGAACAGTCATCTTTGACAAAAGAATGACATCAGTACATGGAAATCACCTATAAATGCTAACAGAATCTTCTGTGGGAACCTAAGTTATCATGTAGATGTGCTTGTCACTTTATCTGTGGTTGGACAGGAATTATCGTAAGTTGAAAGGTTATCTCTAAGTGGATTTAATAAATATTTAAACTGATTGGTGCAGTGCAATATGGGTTATGTGAATTCAATGCATAAAAGTATCTAAACCTTATTAATATTGTGCCACTGTCTGCTTAGCTGACTGATAGGCTGACAAATGTAGGTGGTTCTCATGATTGCTGCAAGTGCAGTGCATTGGAGAAAGCAATCAATCGTTTAAATTTCCTTGCTGTGTCACTTAGTGCATTAATTCAGTGTATAGTATTATTATGCACATGGATTGTGTTGATCGTGAGAACTGAATCCAGTTAGCTCTATTATTATTAATCTATTGTCTGTTATACCATTTCCACTGACAGTGTATACTTAATGCTGCAATGTTTTTGATCATCAATAGTGCAGATGAATTTCTCCTGAAATTTCCATTTACATAAAGCAGTACAGATGTAGTATCACGATTGAATGTCTAGGTTGCATTATATGACATTGTTATCCTCATCAACACAACAGGCCTGTGTATCTTACAATATTTTAAGTGTTTCTCTATGTTGTTAACACTGTGCATAGCTGCCTGGAGTTGAGGAATGTTCAACTTATATTTGATGGCTATAGTTTCCTAAATATGAAAATGTAATTTCTGTGGAATTCACAAAACCATTCTCACCAGACATTACTGAGGTTGTGGATTAATTTCTAAGTTGCACATTTGCAATACTTCATTTAATGTAAACGCATTTATTGTAAAGTAATCTTGATGACAGAATGACGCCTCAACAGTGTGGATGTTGCAGTGATTGCTTTGAAATTTGGGTATAATCCTCTAATACTGGAAAACATGTGAGGTCTATTTGTGCACACGCCGTCAATATAAAGACCAGCTGTGGACTACAAATACTTTTATTTGCATGGGAATTTTACTTTTGACAGAATCAGTGTATTCATATTGTATGCTAATATGTAGAATTAACCTTTTATAACTTCATGTTGTGCTAGTCCTTACATGTGCTTTATTTTTTCAGGTATATGGAGGTTGTCGAATATGAAATACCCTTCACCAGAATTTTCTTTTGTAAATCAATGAAATGTTTAATATACTCTTGATTTCTGCTTCCTCTAGATTTTTTCAGTGAGTCGCTATACTATGTCCTTGTGAATTTGGATTAACGTATGTTAAGCGTAGTTAGTCGAATGGAGATTTACTGTCGTATTATGAGACTGTTACTTTAGTCATTCGTAATATTTCGTGTCTGTTTCTGTACAATAGCACATTGTAAAAACTAAGTAGGATTTAACAAGTTGAATAATAATTCTATACTGTTTGATACGCTAAAGTCGCCTTATCTAGCCAGTTGCAAGTGTGTGTAAATTGCTAAACGCCAAGTCTGCATTACAAGTAAGTGTAGTAACTTAGGCTTGATAGCTACTTCACCAATCTGTTAATATGCAGTGACATCACATAGACTGTTCATTTGACAATGAGCAAGGAAACAATTTTTATTTATTTCTAATATGTCGTTGAATCATGTGATGTTATCTAATATCCATCATTTCTATGATCAACACCTGTGGTATTTGGATATTAAATAACTTAAGCCTTCATGCTTCTAATTACCTCCAGTATTCCCTATTTATTTGATGTGTGTACACTAAACAAGTCTTTCATACATTCCCCAACAAATGCCAAGGTTTCTAGTGTCACAAGTGTTAATAAGAGTTGATTCCCTGGTTTCAATACAAATGACGTTCTAAAATATCTCCAGTCGCTGAATCCTTCTTTTAGCCCAGGACCAGATGGTTTGCCTAGCGTTTTTCTTAAAAAAGTGCAGATATCCTGTGTTATCCTCTCATAGACATATTTAATTAAATGTCGTGCCAGCCGTTTGGAAGGAAATTAAAATTGTACCTATACTTAAGTCATCTACTGGAACATGTTTTAAATTTAGACCAATTGCTATTATTTCTCCCTTTCTAAAAACTATGGAAGTTACTCTTACTTCACTGAAAGCCTTTAGCGATTTCAAACAATTCACCTATAAACACAGTAGAAGTACTTTAGATGCAGCTGCAGTCTTGCATCACAACATTTTCTCCAGTATAGACAAAGGAGCTAAATTTGTTCGCAGCACCTTCCTAGATTACACATCTGCCTTCGACTCAGTACCTAGGGATACTTTGTTCAATGTACACATGCATACGAAATGAACCTTGTCAAGTATGCGGACGATCTAACTGTTTCAGTGTCTGTTAGCTTCCAGTTATACTGTACTAAGATCAACAGCTCTCTATCAGGAGTCAGAAAATGCTCTTTAACTAAATCCTTCCAAATGTCAGACTGTCAATTTCAGTTTCCGATGTAAAAGAAAGTTAGATGAAGCTTTTAATTCCTATGATCGTTGCAAAATTGATAACAGTGATATAGAAATCAAGTTTGACTTTAAGTATCTCGGACTAATTCATCACACAGCATATCGGCCTTAAATGTATACCACATGCAGGCACAATGTTTGTGAGCCAGGTATGCAAATCAAAGTAAACGTTTGTACGGCACATTCATTATTTATAAGATAAATTGTTATGTATGAACTACGATTTGACCAGTTATACAACGTTTAATATATTTAGACGCAGTCAACATACGCTAGTTAGCTCTATGGCGCATTACCTAAAGCTATGTAGCTACCTTGAAATAGTTTCTGCTGAAGGTAATCTCCTTCTACTACCTTAGTGAGAAACTTAACGTTATCTTTGAATTACAAAGCAAAAGTGGACATCCTCAGAACTTTCTGGGTAAAAACATAGTCTCCTAGTCGAAAAAAGTAAATATATCCTAATCTCCACGAAAGCGTTTAGGGGTATTCATTCTATCATCTCAAATGACTCACTATTTGCAGTTACTTAAAAAATGAAAATAAATTTAGCGAAGATTTAAGATTTCTAGATATCATAATGTACCACGAGGAAAAAGCTATATCCAGAGAATTATAACAGTTAGATGCGCGATATCAATCCGAAACACAACGACTACGATTCTCAATCACAGAACATTCTACTTTGCTACCTAATCGTCTAATCACATCAACAGATGTCTCGCCAAGAAAAAGAAGACCATCGGTTCAGGGAAAATTTATTTAAAGTTTTCTTAAAAACCATATTTATAGTCACGGAGAAATTACAAACATCCAAAAAATAGGGATTTCATTATTTGAACTAAAACAAGCAATCTGTACTCAGCCAATGTTTTCACCCCGAATAATAATCAGCTCACACCTTGTAACTTCAAAAAAAACCGATTGTAGACCACAACCCGAAACGTTATTCTTGCCAATTAAAGTCTTACCTTTAACTGGGATAGTTCGTACACTCATCAGATCATAAGTTATCCGCTTTTTAAATCGTTTTGCAACATACTGAATGGCTGTTAACACAGGATTTACTACAGGCAGTCCTAGTTCATGTATATGGATTTAGTATATTAGGCATTAACAAACATATGTAATACTTACCCATAGTTATTTCTAATTGCCTCCAGATTTCTTTTTGTTCCCAAAAATACATACAAGCACAACAGATTCACACGTCGCATGTGGATCAACCTTATTTGATTTAGATTCTCTTACAATATATCTGATGTTTGTTTACCGTTAATGGACACACTGATGGTGTACTCATCTTCTCGAAAAGCTTCAAAGCTTTTCCAACTTCAAGCCAGGTTCTGAAATCTCCAGGTTTAATATGCTCTTCGAAAACCTTGCCAATATCAACCCTGAACGTATTCTCCTCACCAGATTGACACGTAGATTGTTGCATGCTGTAAACATGAACGTGAAAGATATTGTTTTTCCAGATTTCTACATATAAGGTAGTCAATTTAGCCAGCAACAATAACGGCAACAAACGAATGAACTGGAAACAATGGTTTCTGCCACCCAAACAACATTAATATGCTTGCTTGTGGAATGTTTGTGGAATACCCACACAATGTTCGAAGCTGGGAAGGCTAATTAGCTTGCCAAAGACATAAGAAGACGTGATATAGTAGTTTTGGAAATCTGTGAGAGCAGGTGGAATGGGTGTAGACTCTACAAATTGTCAGTTTGAGAGTCAGTTATCCACTGCAGTCATAGAGACGACAGCCACGAGCACACTGAGGGAGTAGCTATCATAATTTCACCGACGGCATCGAAAGCTCCTCCGCAGTTGAGAAATAACGCAGAAAGGTTCAACCTAAAAGAAAGGAAAGTTACAGTTATCAAGTGCTACTCTGATATAAGTAAGTCAGAACAAGAAAAGAAGGAAGACTTTTAGAGACAGCCGTATACAATAATAGGCGAGACCCAAAATGGTGATGTCTGAATGCCAAATGGTGATATGAATGCTGAACTGGGGGCAAACAACACGCCTATTATGGGTCTGGTAGAGCACCGCGAAATGAATGGGAACAGAAGTCTCTTCACAGACTTCTATGCCCTCATTTGTTTGGCGATTTAAGTCAGAATGTACCAGCACGAGGACATATATGAAGCAACTTGAATTTAACCAGATGGATACATCATAAATGAAATAAGCTTCATGTCAATCTCAAGAAAGTGTAGAAAGTCTGCTGCATGTTAAATGGAGAAAAGGAGCAGGTGTAAGCTTGGATCATCATCCACTTCAAAGTGGCTTCAAGGTCCAGTTGAAAGCCTGCAAAGAAGCTAGAAGTGGACTACAGATCAAGCCCAGTACAGAGAAACTGAAGGAAGCAACAAAGGACATCACCGTAGTTATCAGTGAAAGGTCGGAGACATTATTCAACATCACCGAGGAAAGTTGAGTGAAAGAACGTTGGAAGTTTCTGAAAATGATGTCGAAGGAAGCCTACACGGCCTTCTTAGGAAGGAAGAAGAGGCAAGAAAAAGAGAGACTGGAGAGAAGTACGATAAAAGATGAGGTGAACCAAGGCAAAGACGGACAGCGAAAGGGTAAGCTGAATTCACTGCACAGCGAACTGAATAAAGAATTGAAGATTACTGGGAAAGACAAAAGACAGTTCTACGACAAAGTGGAACTTAAAGCAGAACATACAGCAGGTATGACAGACCCCAGAACATTATGTCAGGTGAATCAAATAAAAGATAACTATGAGGAACTAACTGCTGGGGAGGAACAAAGGAGACAGCGGTCTGACCACATCAAAGAACTTCTGAACCGACCAGCACCTACACATCGGCTATATATACCCCCAACAGCGACAGAATCGCTAGTGAATACTAATTTTCCAGAAAAAGCAGAAGTTCCGAATGTCATAGAGCTACTGAAAACCAGACAGGAGGGATTCACCACTGGACACAATTCCACTGGGAGTACTGTAAATGGATCAAAGACCTCCGCAAGTTTCCTGACATCAATAGCACGAAAAATTTTGGAAGGAAGGACAGATACCTCCATATTGGAAGGCTACTATCAAAGAAGGACGATTTTACTCTTCGCAAAACTAGAGCGGGTTCGCACTGCTGTCCAACCCAAGCAAAATTTAATTCCGTGCCACCCAGGAGAGACTAAAAGATGCTCTGGATGAAAAACTGCACCAGGAACAAGCTGGACTCAGGAAAAGCCAATCATATGCGAGTCAGATTGCAGGCCTACGAATCGTCATCATCGAAGGGAGCATAGAATAGCAGTCACATCTCTACCTAAGCTTCACTGACCATAAAAAAGCCTCTGATAACTTTGACCGTGAAGGAATTCGGTAACTGATTCAACACTATGGAAAGGCCCAAATATTTACCACCCTCATTTACTAATTATATATCAGTGCCACATGTCAACTGACACAAAACAGAAAACTCGGCGAAGCCTTCAAAATGACGATAGAGGCAAGACAAGACAAACAACTACCACCGGTGATATTTCCACCTGTGGTGGGTTAGACCGTGCCTGAGACTGTGTTGGAGAGCGAGAAGACAGGAGTAGGTTGGAGCAGTCCGAAGACTTTATAAGGTCTAGGATTCGCGGACGATTTATGCCTAATATTATACAAACTCGAAGATGTGCTGGCAAAAACCCACAAGTTAGCAGAAGAGGCAGACAGTGAAGGGAGGAACTTAGAGAAGACAGAATTAGTAGATTTACTCAACCCGACCTCTAAAACTTCGAGCAACGAAAACCAATCACTATCAATGGTAGAAATTTGGGGGAGGTCATTTCTTTCGCTTAACTAGGCAATTTCATTTCAGCTGAAGGCTGCAAGGAATAGGATGTCAAAATAAGAATCAGAACGGTAAGAGAGACCTTCATCAATATGAAATCCGACCGAAGATTTACTACTGCAGGCATGAAGAACAAGATACGTATTTTCAGCACCGATGTCATATCAGCTGTTCAGTATGATTCAGAGACTTGGAGATAATGAGATGCATTTCCAACAGGTGGCTACAGACTTTCATCAACAACTACCTTCGCTGCATACTAAAGATTAGATGACCAGAAAGTATTAACAACAAGAAACTGCCACAGTGCAACGAAAAAGGCAAGAATCTACTGCCCAACAAAAATTCTGAAGGAAATGGCGATACACTCGGATACGCTCGAAGATCACTGAGTGACATCTCACACCAGATTTTTGAGTGGATCCTGAATGGGAAACGTATATTTAGACCTGTAACCGACGGTGACATGGAGGAAGGTATGAAAGATTACAGGAAGTTGTGGAGCAGCTAAAGAGGCCTGCAGAGAACGTGATAAAATGGAGACGTACTGTTGAGGATACATTTTCCACTCGAAACCTAAAGGAATAATAATGATCTGTTAAAGCATCACACCAGAGTTCAAAATCTGTAGCCAAATTATTTTGGCGTTTTCCCACCAAGAAATGAGAAAAGAATTGGTTAGGCAGTGAATTTTGAGATTCAAAAATTCTCTAGATACTAGATTTAAGCATATTTCTCATACCGTATTTACTGTATGCAAGATTATAACAAATAACATAGTATCTACCATAGAAGAAAGGGATCTAAAGTACCAGTTAAAGTCAAGATACCTTTAATACTTATTTATGAAAACTGAGGCTGCTGAAAGGTATTGAACGTAGATTAGGTGACTAGTTTTAAGAGGGAAGTATGTTTTGTAAAGCTACCCCAATGTTTCTGCTTCGACTACATAATTATCGCACTCCATAGTAATGAATGTAAATCGAGTAAGTCGGTAGTCGGAATATTATTTATCGTCTAATATCTTCACATATTTCAACATAAACTATCTGTCTATTGCTGCTGGTACTTAAATCACTTTGTGATTTCCGTGATACATATTCTGTTAATGGTGTCAGCTTACTATTATAAAGCTGAAAGCTGTATCTGAGTAGGAATTTTTGGAGTATGTGTGGACAGTAATCCATATACGGCAACTAATAACTCTGCTTGGACTATATATGTGTAAATATATACGAACATAGTTAACAATGTACGATAGTCAACGTAATTGTTCGAATAATGTTATCTTAAGTTTGTTAGTGTAAATGATGTTCCATGACACAATACGGGATAACCAATGTAGGCAGGTAAACTGAATACCATCTACATCATACCAATTAGTGTACGCTCAAAGTTCTTCCTAAAATTATCAAAAACGTCTGCGATCTGCCGGAGGTTTATGAGAACTGTTATTGCGTGATTATTATTATTTTTTGAATATTGAGTGTTGACATTAGTGCATTCTTTGTAACATAATTCACTTCCAGGCTAAATCAAACACTAGAAGTGGATGAAACCTTTAGTTACTACCTAAAACTTCTAAATTGTTTTGTTGTCTGACTCAGGGTGAGGTCTGATGTTGGTTAAACTAGCTACTGATTAAAACCTGATTGTGTCTTGTGACGTCTACACTCGGAAATAAACACATTAATACCGTAAGGGCGACCGCGGTACATGACCATTTAGGTGTTATAATCCAATCAAATTACACCTTTTATGAATTTGCCTAGTGAGTTCCAGGGAAATCAGGTGTTTGATTACTGTGTGAGTATTGGATTAATTGGAGTTAGTAAAACACGAATATGTGAGGAAGCTTGACAGGATAACTGTTGTGTTGGGAATATTGTGATTTCGTGGCAACATGGTTAATTACCTGTCTCCCGAGTTAACCAATAGGGAGACATTTTTAAACACCATTTGGCATTAAACAGGTGGGGAAAACTCCCACTTACTCTTTATCAACGTAAATATACATATATATTCTTTGATAAGAGCAGGTAAAGTTGAGAGATGTACGTCGATCAAACTAAAAAACGATTTAATGTAAATTAAATTTCGGTTCTATCCCTGTATTTTGTAGGATTAAATGCCTTTAATTTTTAAATAATGCATAAAAATACGTTTCCAGGTAGTATAGGTTACCTGTGTTGTTATGTTAACGAAATCAAGTTGATCCAATATAGTTGTATTCTTGGATGGTCGTTTTAGTAAAGCTGAGTAGTTACCGACAATTATCTGATTCCAAATATCTTGTTATAAGTATTATGGATCTGAATTATTTGAAGAGCTTAAATTTAGCATTTCAATGCAGCTTTTAGGAGTTTTGGGAATGAGGAAATTTCATTTTTAACTCGTAGTTTCAAGCCCTTTACGTTCGGTTAATAGATGACAGGCTTAAAAAAACATTATTTGTGTAGATGCATCTTATGTTATATTACAGATTCTAGTGATTACTTACACTTGTCTGTGTTCACTTTTATTCTGGAACAAATATTAGTGGTTCTTATTGATAATACAGTAGATAGAACCACTTAATTTTTGCTTTAAAATCGTCTGTTTTACGCATGATAAATACTTGTCATCCTTGTCAAAATGCTTTAGAATGTCATCATCACTGCTTACCCGTTGATTATACTAGGATTGTACCTTAGAGCTTAATTTCTTGCTCACCATGAAAAAGTCAATTTAGATCTGAACATATTTCTTAAATTCTTTGGTGTACCAAAAGTATAGAAAACAAATATTACCTAGGGTAGATAAACCCATAGAATGCATCTTATAGGCTACCTACCGGTTATTATTTTAAAGGTAGGTGGTTACTGTACATGTTAATCAATCTGAATCATATATGTCCAAACCAAGTTCACTTTTAACGGTTTGAAAAAATTTGGGCATTGGGTATATGATATTCATTATAATAAAGGTTTTTGTATTTCCCAATGAATGAAAAACAAAACGATATTGTTTTTACTGACGTTTCGCTATTTAATGCTAATAGCTTTATCAAAGTATTATTAAACCGGAATTTACAAAATCTCAGCATATATATAACAAAGAGTTAAGGGGTGAGAAAATAGACATAGGTCAAGTTAAAGGAACATATTGAAAGTAAAAATAGCAATGAAGATAACTAAACCAAATAACAAAGGTAATGGTATGTCTGTTATGATATCAAAAAAAGTTTACTAACTTGAATCATTATGATTGTTAAGAAGGGTACCTTTTGCAAATAATTAATATGCACTATTGGTGCAAATATTTTGGCGAATTCCATAACTTAGTCATTTTATCTTCTGAAGCATGAATTATAAATGCATTTTTTGTTTGTTATACTTTGATTTTATACTGGTCACTAACGTATAGAAGGGTATCTAGAAGTAGAGTAAACTCACTGCAACATAAACATTAATGACACACTACACGAAATATAACACATTATGGGTAAATAGAGTAAGAAAAGTTGACAGTTAAAGGAGTGATCTAAAGCCTACATTATTTATCTGGTGCCTTTGCAAAATTATAAATTAATATTGTCTCTTTGATTTTAAGCCATATTTGATGTATCAGCTGAAAAAGTCGGTCACTCTATAGTATTCCATGTATAGAGTTAGATATTCATTTATCCTTAGTCAAAAATAATTTGTCATAAAAAGTCATTTTCTAATATGTGGACTTCTAAATTTATCACTGAACTCAAATAGATCTTATCAGCACCAGTTAGTGTCAGATATTTTTTACTGCTTCTCTTGGAGAATGCTTGTTTGCTAAATATACACTTCTCCATGTACTCATTTGCCTGAGCTTTACTGGACATAAACAAACAACTAACAGGAAGACTTGTTAGATTTCAACTCGGTGATAAAAATACTAAGTTTGTGTATAGCGTAACAAAACAACTTTAGGCATCCTAAATAACCTTGGCACTATCTCTATTACTTTGTGGAAAGTGTCAAGTACCTATTTTGATCATGAGAAAAATGTTAGAAAGATCTGGTGAAACCCAGAAACTTTTTCAAAACTTTTGGAAATACAAAAATATGTTCCTATAAGCTCTGAATGTAAGAAAGTGTAAAAACAACTTAAATGTAGATCTAAAATGAATTTTTATTCAATGTTCATCATGCAAAGTGGTATAAAACAGCAGATAACTGCTCAGGTGGATCAAAGAGACTGTTTTTAAAAGATTAGAAGATAGATAAACTATAACAGAGGAAGTAATCAGTGTTCCATCTCCAAAAAAGGTAAGAATACTTTGAGGAACTGTTTAACTGTCTTTCAGTTACTCTCCACGTGGATACAATGCGGTCAGTCTAAGACATTAAAATATAGCTGCGGCGAGGCATTTTCAGACATATTTATAGACCAGGATTACTGGCTGAGCTAAAAATTTAACTACTGTATAGAAGTTGGGGATTCTGTCCCCCTGAGTTTTCCGAAACACTGAGAGTTCCTGTGTCTAAGAAAGGGAGAAGTCACCATTTAACAATCTCGAGAATTTTTCTAACCATTATAGTTTTAAAAAACCTAAGACATGCAATCTACATCTAACTGGGGCCAGGGACAAATAAAATCCGAGAAAAATAACGTTTTCAGACTTCGCTGTTGGTATGTGGACCAGATATTTACTGTCTTTTAACAACCAATGCACGGCACTAAGTATATTTCTTAACGTGAAGGTGAGATTCGACTCTGCTGATCTACATTATTCATGATAGTGAATTATACTGAGGGAGATACTTGTGAAGTCCATTTCCTTACTGAAAGGCCAATACTAAAACACTCTTTGTCGCATCAGACATAGTAATGAGCTATGTTTTGAATTAGCTACATTGAGTCGAAAGGTACACTTCTCTATTTCCATTCAATTTTATCATAGATATACTTATGAAGACCCCTATTTCTTCTTTATTTGACTTGTACTATGTAAACATAGTGATAAGATACTCACTTCAACTGATAATACAAAAGCTTTTAGGTTGTGTTCTTCATTTTCTAACTTCGATTACCACTTTTATGTAGTAATACCTCGTCTTACTACAGAGAGTGAAGCTGTTGAGCGAGTCAACCACTTTCCATAACAAGTCGCATCAGTCCTGATAAGTTCGTGACTGACAAAATTTCTCCAGGTATACAATATTTGTCTGGCATTCACAAGTCATAACGTAGACGGGATATTTTTGTTGCTCACTAAGGATCAAGTGGTGCGTTGGTGGCGCAGCGGTAGAATGCTCGGTAACCACGCATGTGGTCCGGGGTTCAATCCCCAGCCGACGCATTCCTTTACCTCTCTAAGCCAGTAATAAGACTGGTAAAGATGGGAGGTTGGGCATGAGGCTAGCAACCCCATCCCGTAAAAGTAAACACCACTGCTAACGAAACTTCAAAGCTCTAGCTTGAAGCCCTATATTCCACTAGGAACGTAAAGGAATAATATAAAATGAAATGAATCAAGTGTACTATGCAACAGCGAGCTCTGTCCTATTATAAAGTTGAACTGATCTGAATTGCCAACTTAGAACTTTGCATAGGGAAACATCAGTTCAAGTTGCCACACTTGCGAAAAGTCTACATGGTGGCAGAGAAACACATTATAATGACACTAGTGGGAATATATGCATGGTAGAGAAAAAAGACTAGACGGAGGATAGTTAGGGTTTTCAGGATATGAGGCATCACAAGTAATGTGTTCCTTTTAGGATAGATAGAGAACGATGTAGATAGTAATTCAGTATAACTTACCTTTATTTGTTGACACTAGCACTCATTTGTATACTCAGTAAATCAAGAGAATCTTAATAACTCTACAATATCAAGTTAAATTAATTTGCTACGGAACTCTTCAGACTTATATATATGTATGTACGTTCATTGTATTCTTTTTTTCTATTGTTAAAGATTAGAAACGTTTTGCTGTCAGAGTGTTGTTTAGTGTAGTGAAAAGTATTCGGAAATTAAATCTTAAAATATCATCTGCTATCATTTTTAAAAAAGGGATTTATTGGATGAATGTGCTTCATAAACTCTAAGGTGGTCTTAAGTGTCTGTTAATTTCTCATTACTCCTTTTATTATTTTACTAAATCCTACAATCATTTGAAAAAAATTTCTCTATTCCTTTACGTTCTCAGTGGGACAAGCTAGATGCTTGAAGTTTCAGTAGCAGTGGTGTTTATGTTTACGGGATGGCGTTGCTAGCCCCATGACCAACCTCCCATCTTTACCAGTCTTATTACTGGCTTAGAGAGGTAAAGGAGTGCGTCGGTCAGGGATCGAACCCCGGGCGAGCATTCTACCTCTGTGCCACCGATGCCCTACAGTTATTAGTTTTCAAAATAAGTTTTTATGAGAAAAAGGCAGACTGTTCACTTCAGTGTATTTCATTTCTCTTCTATATTTATATACATTGTAGATAAGTATTGCCATCATTCTGTTGATTACTGATGTGGTGATGGTGAATTCTTTACATCTTAGAGGAAGATGGAATCCATCAAATAGATATTTATTTTTAACTAAATTTGGTTTTCAACGTACTCAAGTTGATGAACTTGAAGCGACAAGAGGTTATATTTATGGAACAATAAGGCTGGAAAATTCTACAGTCAATGGTAAGCTAACAGTTTAATAAACTTTATGTATGTGCTTTTAGTTTAATCGCGTATCAATGTTTTGTGGTAGTAATATACTGGGATTACTTTGAATGATGTAATGAGAAAAAAATTTATGATTTTGATTTGTTTCTCAGAAATTATTATTAATATTAAAACACAAAGTTGATACATGATAGGCACCAAGAGGTGTGCCACACAAAATATCATATTTTATGCGAGGGCTGGAATACTACTTGGACTCTTGGACCACCGAATCGTGTGGTTATCTTAAGGGACCGCCTTCGAGACTTTGACTTAAAGTCTGATCTACACGGCATAGGAGCTACGCTTCCATGGTTGACGGTGATCAAGACAGGTTCATACGTCATTCTATCCTTTCGGGTTCTGGATGAAGGCCACATAAGAGAATTTCGAGTGGAAGATCGAATTCTACCCACCATTGGCCGTACCAGTCTGCTTATGCGGGTATGTGTGTGTGGTGGTGCGTTTCTCAGGAATTGGGTACCTTATTCTGAAATTTAAGAACTGCAGAGATCAAACATAACTGAACTTGCGCTGTAATTTTATGTCTACCTGTCACCCCCTCCTTCATGTCTTAGAAATCGGAGAGGGAGGACAGTACGCGGTGGAGATGTGATTCTAATACCCTATGTTCTACTTAGAATCCAAAGGACGAATAAATAAAAAAATCACTGGCACGTCTCTTACGTTATATTTCATATATCCCATTGATTAGAGTCACTTCCAATCAACGTTTTATTTCTTAGACAAAATGACTAACTGGATTATCAGCGTAGAATGTTACACCAAATAACATTAGTTCAAGTAATTACTCTTCAGTAAGGCAAATATTCAGACTATTGCTCAAAGTCTTCAGAAGACTGTATTATGTCAGCGTTTTCTACGTAGAGTGACTAAGTTGGGAATTACTACTGCTGGAGACCTCCATTTCTTCGGCTTTTTTTAGCCTACTACTGTTCACGGTCGTTGTGGAGACTTTTGGTTAGCTTCTTTTGAGTAGCTTTTTCCTCTTGTGTTGTTTGGGGGCCACCAGAATCAGTCATCCTGCGTCTATCAGTTAGGGTGAAGCAGCAGGAATCTAACTGCATTTGCTAGCCTTTGGTTTCAGCCTATTAACAGCCTTTACCACTTTCTACAGTAGACTGGATATGATGCCAGACCTCTTCTGCTTGAGTATTTTGGGAAAATGACTACACATCTGAAAATAACAGCAATGAAGACGAAGTTCTCATCAAACAGTTGACGCGTAACTTCCGTAGCTGTATGTTTCCTACGTCCGTTTAGTCGTAGGTATATACGTTCATGAGCTAGTGCACTGTCGGAGTTCATACAAGTGTTTCAGAAAAAGCTGTAATTTTCCACCAATACTCTTCATCGACACATGGTGTATTTGTGCTTATAGTTGACTTCATATCGGTGGTCGCAATGTAGGATAATGTCGCTCCTTGTGATTGGAAATGGTCCCGGTTAGGGACTAGTGGTTATCTGAACATAACTGAAAAGGCGTTCACCGTTGTCGGTTCTGCGACATGAGACTCCATAGATGCCTACGGTATATTTTTCTGGCTGGCTCAGCCTCCACGCTTAAGCATTTAAATCTCCTGCTAAGATAATTATATCTAGACCTTTCGCCTTTAGAAGCAAACTAGAGAGTTTTTGATAAAAGTTATCCTCGTCCGAACTGCAGTCGATTGACACGTAAGTGGAGATTATGAAAAGAAATCGATGGTTACCACAATCTTTGCCTCCAAAGCCTCAGGATGGTCGGGGTGGGTGCCTTGCGCTGCGGGTTGACCACCCCTCCGCACACCTCTTGAAATGCTCCCATATGACCGGGCGTCTTACATAGCCTCTCCTGAGGAAGTCCTACTCACTGCCTTCACGTGGTAGAGGTGTTTTCACCAAAGTGAGAGGGCGAAAGCGGATGCCCGGCGCTCTTCACCGGGTTGACTGTCCATTGGATGACAGTCTAGGGGAGATGGCTAAACCCTGATTCCAAACCTCCAACGACTGGCGTATGAAGCTCACTAGAGCTCACCGGCAGACGTATGGACAAAGGGCTTGTTGGATGTCCTGGATGTCTGGCCCCATTCAAAAAGGCGTATGAACCGAACTCCGGTCACCGGCTGCCAATGGATAGTGGACTCCCTACTCCACTCCTACTGCCTTGTGGGTCACACTTGGTTGTGTAAAGGCTAGAGCTGCACTCTCAAACAAAAGGCCGAGCGATTCTGGGGACATCACTCGTACCAAATTCCCATGAAACTTCATGAACTCTCTTACAAACGACTCTCACCATGCTACGGCGTTCCCGGTAAGCGACGCGCCCTGTGCTCACCCGGTGGCCAGTGTGAAAAGTAAGCCTGGGCAGCGATGATTCGAGATGTTCATGAAGCCGGCTCATCCTCCCGTAGGAGGTAGCCGAAGTAAAGAAAAGTAAAGAAGAACTTACCTATCCGTTCAACCAGACAATGCACATATGACTGTTCATTGAAAACCAATCGAGTAGTGAGCCTTCTGCTCTATAGCTCAATACTATTCCTTCACCAACAACTCATTAAGAGCTAGCTGGGGAATCTTCAAACACTCTTAAGATAAATTTTGCAGGTCAGTCGTGTTGCTCAGTTACCCGGAACGGATTTTTCATATTACCAGGATAAGAGCCATACTTATCGTGTGAGAGCTGTTGATACTACTTAGTTGCTCAGGTGTGGGACTCGAACCCGCGACCCATCAGCTGAAAACTGAGTGCTTACACTAATGAGTCACATTTGGCTCTTGTATGAGTTACTATCCAAATAATCAAAAATTCTTTTTGTGGTCCTTGCTTAGTCATGCATCAAAGTTATGAACGATAGTCTTATGATGTGATTTAAAAAAAAATTTTATTTCTGATTTACAGAAAAGAATTTAACAGATATTGGTACATTGGTTCTAGTTGACGGAGAATTTATTACTGATCTTTATGGTAATGCTACAGAACCAATGTGGGCACAGAATATAACTGGTCAAACTGGTCAAGAGAGTCAATGGCTTATGGAAACTGAAAGATGCAACAGAATGTTTGCAAAGATCAATTCTCTCGCCTGGCATAAAGTCTGCTCTCCTACTGGAAAAATGGATTTACTCCGATCGGTACCCTGTCCTACTTCTGGACTATGCAAAGAAGAAGATGATCCTGGAAGTGTGGTACCAAATTCACAATTTACCTTCAGTGTTCAAGATCTTCGACAACCACGGTTTGTAGTGTTAATTTTGTATTAAATTTTTAATGGATAATTTGAGGTAATCGTAGCTTTTTTTCCACATTCCTTGGCCTCCTGAGTAGAACATATAGGCCTTCAAACTTGATCTTTAAAGTTTCAACAACGGTGACGTGTTTTTTTGTGGGGGGGTAGTTTGCTAGCCTTACGCCCAACCTTCCCTCTTTATCGGGCTTACTACTGGATAGGTGAGGCTTAGGAGTGTATCGGTCGGGGAGTCGAACTCCGGAGTACTTGTGTGGTTGGAGAGCATTCGACCACTAAACTACCGACGCGCATAGATGGAGACAGGTGTATGTTGGAAGAAGGAAAAATCAAATTCTTAATTTACAAATTATACTATTCGAGGAGGTGAAATTTCACCAGTTTCCTTTGAAGACTGAAATTTGTCAGATCACGATACGTCATCTGCTGCTTGATAGCATAAATGGTAGTTGAAAAAGCAAGCAGATTGGAGTAAAACCATATACTATTGATTGATTGATTGATTGACTGAGATGATTAATTGCGAATTTGATGTATAAGGTGTTACCACCAGTTCGCCCAAGTAACTAGCCAGAAATTGGGTGGTGCTAACTGACTCAGCTCTCTCTGAGCTTTAGTCAAACCGGGTACATCACGAGTGAAACAGCCGTCCGGTGTTTGGATCCCTTCACCTACTCATTTCAATCAACCCGTAGAATATAGTTTTATGCAATTATAGAACAGTGATGTTAAAATGAGTAATGGCTCAAGGTGAGATGGAAACTTGGATTACATCAGGAATCAAATCGGCAACGTCCAATTTATCGGCTTATTCCTCTGTCAGTTGTGAAGGAGAATACCCAACTACTAATCAGAAGAGTGAAGTGAAATTCAAACTTGAATAACACCTTGACCTAACAACTCTGAATAGAATATCTGATCGATAATCTGAAGGCTGGCGGTTTGAATGCTGTGTCAGTCCGAGTTTTCATTGTTGTCTTCAGCCTTTGCTTGCTCACAATTAAAATAAATCCCATTCATCTTTGCGACTTCTTTCATTGAATAATATCATGCCTTGCTGAGTGATTGTCAGGGCTCCAACGTAGAACTTTGCATGGAAGTGCAGCCGTTCAAGTAGCATGTAACAAATATGGCACACGAAAGTAGAGAACATAAAACTATTATTAGTAGGAAGATACGGGAGGAACAATAGTAACATGGCAAAAACAAGAGGATTTTGGATGATCTGGGAGATTCAAATGATTGAATACATCTCTGCGTTATTGAGAACAATTTTGAGCCATATAACCAACAATCTCCAGCCATTGGTTGTTGGAATCCTGAAGACCTCAACCAGGCAGAACTGGACTGGAACTGCAGAACTTTGTACAGATGTGCATCAGTTCAAGTTGCCATACTCCGTGTAGCACACAAAGCAGGAGAAGAGAGTAAACGGAGATTCAAAAGAGAGATATTAAAGAGAAGTGTGTGTGTGTGGGGGGGAAGGAAAGAGCAGTAATACGGAAGAACGATAGAATTTTATTGGACATTATACATCAAAAAGACTGAGTGAATCTGTACCATTGAGAACGATTTTGAGCCATATCACCAATTGTCTCCAGCCTTCATTGGTTCTTACCATCCCGAGGAACTCAACCAGTGAGGAAGTCTACACCTCCCTGTGTGGCTCAAAATAACTGTTGTGGATTTCATTGACTGATAAAGCCATGTTTTGGTTTGACCACCACTAGCTCTTTTTCAACTTGATCCTATGTCAGGTAGCATTGCCCGTCGATGAAGGAGATGGCTAGGTTAGGCATGTGTAACACATGTCCTAGCCGTCTCAATCGATATAACTTCACAGCCTCGTCTATTGATTTCCTCTCCTTACCTAACACTTGACGCCTAACCTCAATATTGCTCATCTTATTATACCACTTAACATGGGAGATAGAACGCAGACACCTATGATCAAAGACAGTTAGCCAGGCTTTTCATGTCTTCTACTTTCAATGGCCGTGTCTCGTTCGCAGCCATAAAGGAGGACGGAGCGGAGTGCTGAGCAGTACACACGTCTTTTGATGGATAGCCGGATATCACGTGTACTTCCGGAGATGACTTAGATTAAAAAATGCCAAACGAGCCTTCTGTATCAGTGTTGAGATTCTGTCAGCAATTAGTAGATTAGGGTTGATTCAACCTCCTTCACCAGTTTGCTTATAAGTAGATTTCAGTTCTTTTTATCCTTTTCTTAAAGCTTGTCAATGTGTCTATTTGACCAGCTGACAGTTTTTAAGGATTTTACATTTTTGTATTGTTAGCAAGTGTTCACTAAGTGAGTTTTTTTAAACCCACCAAGTTTATCTTCTGATGTAGTATGAAGTAAACGACTAAAGTTCATTTTACTCCTGTATATAGGGTGAATTTAGTAATAACGATATATTGTTTGTTGTGTGTTTATGGTTTCAACCAGTATAATTATATAATAAAGGTTTTTTGTATTTCCCAACGAATGAAAAACAAAACGATATTGTTTTTACTGACGTTTCGCTATTTAATCCTGCTAATAGCTTTATCAAAGTATTATTAAATCGGAATTTACAAAATCTCAGCATATATATAACAAAGAGTTAAGGGGTGAGAAAATAGACTTAGGTCAAGTTAAAAGGACATATTGAAAGTCAAAATAACAATGAATTATTGACACTAGTATAGTGTGATCGTCTAGTCCTCTCTTTGGTGCAACTGAATTCTGTCAGTCAGGTTGTAATGTGGCCACCATTCTAGGTAGCTCACCATCACGTGTACATTGTTTGTGATGATATTAGATGGTTGGAGGCAATCCACAGGAAGCCTTGGACCTAGGTTTCGTGCTAGTTGGCACTCTTCAGTAAGGCGTATCTGCAACCTTGAAGGAACTCATGTCCCTTCTGAGATTCGAACCCGCGTCACTCATTGCTGCAGTCAGAATCTCAGTGGTAACGTCTCTGACTGCAGCACTGGTGACGCGTCATCTCGAAGGACATAAGTTCTTCAAAGTTGCAGATAGCTTACTGAGAGTGCAACTAGCACAACTATAGAATAACAATGAAGATCACTAAACCAAATAACAAAGGTAATAGTACATCTGCTATGGTATCAAAACAAAGTTTACTAACTTGATCATCGTTCGTTAGTCTGGGGTCATTTTTCGTTGTCAAGTTGGTCAATTGGTAAAGATAACGAAACCAGGTGTAGATTGTTGGATTTGATCATTGTTTAAAATTATAAAAGCAGCATGTGTTTACATAATGAAATTGATTATCACACTCGTGTTGATTTTGTCATTTCATGGGTGGGGAGGGGTGTTGTAACCAGATCAAATTCTGTTTTAGTTCATCATTCCTATTCAGACAATTTGGATTCCACTTGATATGAAGTGCTTCTGATATCAGATGTTCTTTGTGATTTCTACAATTTTTCTGGATTATTTCAATATTGTCAAAATCAATTTTGTGACCTGACTCTATAGCGGGTAGACCTATGGCTGTTGATTTTTCAAGTTTTTCTAGTTCAATCGGATTTCTCGGTGATCGAACAGATGCTCTACGGTGTTCATTTCTTCTGATTTTGATTTCTCGAGATGTTTGTGCGATGTATGTCGCACATCACATTCCAAGCATTTTATTTTATAGGCACAATTAGATAGGAAATCTTTAGGGATCTGGTCTTTTATATGGACAAGGTTGTTTCGTACACACTACGGTCTTCATTGTTATTTTGACTTTGAATATGTCCTTTTAACTTGACCTAAGTCTATTTTCTCACCCCTTAACTCTTTGTTATATATATGCTGAGATTTTTTAAATTCCGGTTTAATAATACTTTGATAAAGCTATTAGCATTAAACAGCGAAACATCAGTAAAAACAATATCTTTTTGTTTTTCATTCATTGGCAAATACAAAAACCTGTACTATAATGAATATCATATACCCAACGCCCAAAAATTTTTTCAAACTGTTAAAAGTGAACTTGGTTTGGACATATATAACAGTATAATTATATTCATCATTTACTGTTAAAGTTGTGGAGGTGTGTTTCACTGGTCTAAGCGCTCGAATGCCCACCAGTGGGTCAACGAGTTCTTGGAAATCCGCTCCTCCCAACGCACATCTGGGCAGCCAGAAAGAGTATCACTAACCCTCACACATAATAAGTGTGTTTCATCGCCTTCCCCTCAGCCCTCGCTAACTGCATTGAATTGCAAGCGGGTTGTTGATGAGTAACCAACATTTCATCTTTATTTTTCATTTTTTCTTTTCCTTTTCTCTTACAGTTACTGGTATCTTAGTTTAGTGGCGTGTAAACGTAATCTTACTACATGTAAATGGGAGACTACTGCTATTCCTCGGCATAGGGTGAATACATCCTCATCATTGCCTTCATCATCAGCATCTGCTTTGCATCAATCTTTACCAACAATTATTTATGATATTTTCTTGGTTAATGGTGAACCAAAATTACAGTCTTTCAATCAATTTGAACATCATTTCTCTTTTGAAACTCATGGAGTTGCTGAATTATTTTTTATATTCCTATCATTGTATATTATTTTGAATATAACAGCACATGTAAGTTCATATACATGCATATATATATATATATATCCTATATAAAATTAAATATAAAGAACAAATGGTTATGGTATATACTACTGATTGCTTGAGATGAGTAGTTGTATACTATTCTCGTCAACCAGTAGTGCTTACTAGTCAGATCGAAGGGATCTAAACACATCGGACAGCTGTTTTGCTCGTTTGGGGTCGAGCTCATCAGCAGTGTACTAGGTTCAACTTATCTCAAAGAGCCGAATCAGTTCGAACCACCCGAATTCTGGTTACACATTTGATAAGATATCGTATGGTTTAGTGGGTCATTCTAAGTACTATTCAGCAGTCAATAGATGTGGGAAACTTGGACACTGTGGTAGTACTCGTATTCGTGTAACGACAGAAGACAAGGGCCAGGCAACAGATCGTTTATTGAAAAAAAATCAACATATATTTATAGATTTTTATGTGCATTGTTATTATTATTTTGATTATAGCTTGATTCCACACAGTATTTTTGGTACAAGTATGGAATTTTCAGCATGTGATATCGGTAGTCCAAATTTTGCAGGTCGACCATTGATATCAGGTGTGCGTCGGCTAGGGATCGAACCTCGGACCATGTGCATGGTCAGCGAGAGTCCTAACCGCTGTGCCACCGACGCACATTCGTTATTGTTAGCAGAGAAGCAACGTCTTCTGATTGGTTGTTTTCCTGCTGTCATCTCTTTGTTGCCGTTTCTTAGATAGTCCGGTGATATATCTGCGATTCGTATCCGCCCACGCTGATTCTGCTGTGATTGGTTGGTTGTTGAGTTCCTCAAGGTTAGGCTTTGTTCTTGTTTTCTTTCCTGACCCCAATTCGGGACGTAAACACTGACGTAAATTGTTGCATACAATTTTGGCTTGCAGACAGCTCTCATCACAGTCGTAGAATATAATTAATTAATTTCTTTATTGGATATATCACTCACAGTGGAACGGTATTATTGTTTGCTGGATGATGTTTCGAACACAATTCATTTGTTCATAATCATACCAATTGTAATTACACAACTGGGAAGCTTGATTTTTATAGTTCTGTTGCCTTCCCCCATCTATTTTAAGGGTAGTAGAATTTTCTCGATGGTTGAGTAGGTGTTGAACCATGCCTATTTCACGTATTTTTAGTTGATTTGATACATAAAGCTTCAATTATCAATCTCTGTCATCCTGGTAACTGAAGCTTTATTGATCGAATCAACTGAGAATACATGTGAACGGAATGATTCAACACCTGTTTCAGGTATCTGAAAAATTCTACCACCCTTACAAAAGACGGAAAGGAAGGACTAGAACTATAAAACTCAAGTTTCGAAGTTGTGTTTAACATAATTGATATGATTATGAACAATAAGCTGTGTTCGGAAACCTCATCCAGTAAACAGTAATATTGTTCCATCGTGTGTGATATATCTAATGAACAAATTAACACAAATTTTACCACATAACAAAATCATTTAAAGAATAATAGAAAGCCAGGAAGTACTGAACAGCTGTTTCGTCCTATTTTTGGACTCTTCAATAGTGCACACCTATGAAATTAATCCAGATCCCCACATAACTCACAATCTGAAAATTAATATAGGATTGCATACTAATGCCACAGTGATGTTTTACAACAATGGTGGCAAATTATATGTATTTATCAAATAAAATCTCTGGCACTGACTCAAACTTATTTATGTAATAATGAAAAACTCAGTGAACTTCAAATTGCTTCATTGCATGTCTCTCTATTCATATAAATTAATATATTTAGTGGAAAATAATAATTGAATTTGATTGTACCTACGGTTATGAATTGGTTAAAGCCATAACTGAGTGATAGTGTGATATTTCTAAGAAGTTTAAAAATAGCAGTGAAAAATTTGTAGGATTACATGTTTGGTCACAAGTTGACATCAGTTAGAGAACCACTGGGAAACCTAGGAGTACTGGACAGGTGTTTCGTCTTGATTTAGGACTCTTCAGGAGTACGAACCCACCAACACCTGATAATTAATTGGATACTTACTAGTGGCTGGCTGTATACAGGAAGTTACCTACAGTTCTAGTGAGAAGTTGTGACCAGCCGGGTCCACCAAGTCCGATAAGAGGGCAGTTGCACCTCAATGAGATTGGCCAGTGATCTTGTTATATATCACAAATTGGTAGAAGTTGGAATTCATGGGTTGGTCATTCGATTGGGTCCCAGTGGCTGAATAGTCTACGAACTTGCCTCGTAACCGGTAGATCATGCGTTCAAACCCAGGTGGGTGCGTACTGTTGAGGAATCCCGAACTAGGACGAAACGGCTGTCCAGTAGACTCTGGTTTCCCAATGGTTCTCTAACCGATGTCAGCTCATGATCAAACCTGTAACCAATCAAATCCCTGAAAGCCGAGACTTGATAAAAGTTGTAGGACGCAAGTTACTCGGCGATGTTACTCCATGATTTATACACCTAATCTTCCACCTTTTATTTCGTCGACTGATATTGTCGTTCTAGGTGAAGACGCTAACAAAATACAGAGTCTTCTGAACACCCTGAGCAGAAATCTTTGGATGTTTGGCGTATGATTCACCTCTTTCAAATTTAAGATGGTGCTACAGGACTAGTTTTCACTGACTTCCAGCTTAAAGGTAGAAAGTGAAATGGTTGAGCGTGTTGACCACTTCACTTATTTAGGAAGTTACATCAACCCCAATGGACTGATTGATGATGAAATCTCAGTACGGATGCGAAACGTACATTTGCCAATTTATGTTGTCTTTGGTGTTAGTTCTCCACAATATCTTGCTCTCCCTCCTCCTTTATAGCTGAGGACATAGTCATTAAATGTTGGAGATATGAGAAGCTTAGATGTCTTTGACCATAGGTATTTGCGTTCTGTCTCTCTTGTTAAGTGGTATAATGTAGTGAGTAATATTGAGGTTAGGTGTCGAATGTGAGTTTGTGAAGCGACATCGATTGATATGGCTAAGGCATGTGTTGTACATGCCCAACCACCGTCTTCATAGCCGAGCAATGTTACCTGACATAGGATTCGATCGGAAAAGCGTTAGGGTTGGTTAAATTGAAACCTGGTGTCAATCCATGAAGTATTCGACTTTTTTTAAATTGAATTTTAGATTTTCCCGTTGGCTTATTGGACCAAAGTGCTCGGTCTCAGGTTGACATGTCGGCTTCTAATTAAAAACCCAGACATCGTCGAAGTATCTGCACAAGAAGTCGACATGTCAACCTGAGACCGAGCACTTCAGTCCAATCAATCGACGGGAAAATCTAAAATTCAATTAAATAATTAATAAAACCCGATGCATAAGAGGTGGCTCTCGTGGCCCAAGTGGTCTAGTGGATAACGCTTTGGCGTTTGAAACTATAAGCACTGGGTTCCAGGCTAGGTGGGAACATCATCACTGACTCACTGGGGAATGCAGGTACATCCAGATGACGAATCCCAAACAGGACGAAATGTGCATCCTGGATTCCACTGCTAGTCACCATCCACCAATTATATTCGACTTTTGGTTTGAGGTGTAGACTGTCTGGTTGGGTTCTCGAAACGCTAAGAAAGGATGCCTTGAGACTGTTCGTGATATGGCTCAAAATCGTTCTCAGCGACATATATATGCATTCAGTATTTGTAATCTAGATCCATTAAGTCCTCATTTTTCGCCATGTAATTATTCCTTGTAAGAGCTAAATCACTTTGTCAATAGTAAATAAGTCCTGATAATGTGTTTTATCTGTGTGTTTTAGTGTATACTTCGATCTCATAATTGAAAACGTAACTTATCTTCACTTATCCTGTCATTCGTATAATTTTAGTTATTCTTTAATTACTGAGACATAGTATATCTAGTTGTTTTGATGAATATAAATTTCTTTTTTTTTACACAGGTTAAACTAGCCAGTCATTTTTCGCTTCACGTGTGCCTCTACCTCATTCATCTTTGGTTGGCTAGTCTTGGCACACTATTGGGTGCTGTTCATTGGATTGTCTTTTCATTTGATGGTCGAGGACTTGGCCTACTTGCAGAATTTGGAACAGTAGTAACCCAATGGGCTGATTCTATCTTTTTAGCTGTTTTAATGTCCACTTGTCAAATGGGTTTCAGTCCACAATTTCAATCAATTACATTTGAATCGTTGAAGAATGATTCACAAACACTTGACTTGTTAAATGCAAAGATATTATCCAAGTTACCTGATGGATTCTTACAACTGGGTACACTTAGTCATAAATTATACAATTATACTCCTGTTAGTGAAGAAGATATTTTTTTCAGGAAGGCGAAAACAACAACTAGTCGAGAGAAAAAATCTACATCATTTTGGCCGTATGTCATATTTCTAGTCGCCTTATTTTTTGGTGTAAAAACTTTACTGTACATTTGGGCTATGGTGAGTAGTTGCTTTCGTTTCATCTTTCGTGTAGCCTTTTTGTTATTAAGTTGTGTGATTTTGTTGTAGTTGTTATCATTGATTTATGATGTCTGAATAGTCTGTCTGTCTATCTGTTTTCGACATAGAACTTTGCACCGATGTGCTGCAGTTCAAGTTGCAACACTCCCTCCGTGTAGTACACAAACCAAGAGAAGAAAGTAGGAGAAATGCATATTAGAGACAGTAAACAGAGGTGTGAGAAAAAGGAATAGTAATAACGAAGAACAAAACAGTTTCATTGGAAATTATAAGTCACAAGGAGTGGATGCATCTGCGGTAGCCATTGACAGCGATTTTGAGCCATATCACCAATTGTCTCCAGCCTTCATTGGTTTTTACCGTCCCGAGGACCCCAACCAGTCAGGAAGTCTACATCTTCCTATGTGGCTTAAACAAACTGTTATGGATTTCATTGACTGATGAAGCCAAGCTTTAGTTTGACCGCCGCTAGCTCTTTTCCAGCCTGATCCTATATCAGCTAACATTGCCCGTCGAGGAAGGCGATGGCTGGGCTAGGCATACGTAGCACATATCCTAACCATCTCAGTCGATGTAATTTCACAGCCTCGTCGATTGATTTCCCCTCCCAACTACCTAGCCTAACCTCAATATTGCTCACCTTATTATACCACTTCACACGGGAGATAGAACGCAGGCACCTGTGATCAAAGACAGCTAGCCAAGCTTTTCATGTCTCCCACTCTTAATGGCCAGGTCTCACAGCCAACCATAAAGGAGGACGGAGCGGACTGCTGAGCAGTACACGTCTACGCCAGAGACGGCGTAAACTGGTATATGCGAAACTAGCCTTCTGAATGTCTGAATAGTAAAATTGAATGACAGTGTCACATGTCAAATGATTTATAACGGAAAACTCAGTGAAGCCTCTGAAGTGAATACTGGAGTAAGACAAAACTCCCGCCAACACCGATGCGACTCAAAGGCAATGTTTATGAGGACAAACGCATTGTAGGTACATCAATTTGGCATCTTCTTCTTCTTCTTGTTCCCTTGGGTTCCTAGTGGAACATAGGGCTTCAACTGCACGTCTCCACTTGCTTCTGTCTTCTGCTGTTCTTTTCACTTGCGTCCATGTTATTCCATACTGTTTCATCTCCTCCTCACACGATCTCCTCCATGTCACCCTTGGACGTCCCACTCGCCGCTTCCCTTTCGGGTTCCACTCGAGGGCTTGACGCGCGATGTCACTCAACGGCCTCCTCAGCGAGTGTCCAATCCATCTCCACTTTCTCCTGCATATTTGTTGAGCGATTGGTTCTTGTTTTGTTCGTTCTCATAGTTTCTTGTTGGTGATTCTTTCCGGCCATCTGATCTTGAGTATAGAACGAAGACAGCTGTTGATAAAGGTCTGCAACAGGCTGTTGGAAATATTCTTTATGACTTGTCAAGTTTCTGATCCGTATAGAACAACTGACTGACTTGACGTTTGTATTGAAAATCCGAATCATTTTGTTGTTGATGCTGAGTGACGAAGATTTCGAGATTGGTTTCAGGTTGATGAATGTGTTTCTCGCCTTCCCGATTCTCCATTTGACATCCTCGTCGGTTCCACCTGCCTGTAGTTGAGACAATGCTCCCCAGATAAGTGAAAGAAGTAACCTCTTTCAAATCCCTCCCGTTGATGGTGATTGGCACTGGATGTTGCTGCTGTTGTTGGTTGGTTATTTTCATAACCTCCGTCTTGTCTATGTTCACCTGGAGTCCTGTCTTTGCTGCTTCTTCGACCAGTTTGTCGGTTTTTGCTTGTAAGTCTTCGATTTTGTGTGACATCAAACATAAATCATCCGCAAAATCCAGGTCTTCTAGGTTCTTCACGTCGGTCCAGGATATCCCTGTCTTCTCGTTTCCCACTGTCTGACGCATAATCCAGTCCACCACAATTAGGAATATTATTGGTGATAATAAGCACCCTTGTCTGACTCCTGTGTTTACTCCAAACGCTTCGCTGAGTTTTCCGTTGTGGATCACTTGACATGTGCCGTTGTCGTACAGTTGTTGAATAAGGTTGATGAATATTTGCGGTACGCCGTAGTACTCGAGTAGTTTCCAAATTACTTCGCGGTCAACGCTGTCGAAGGCCTTCTCAAAGTCTATGAAGTTGAGGTAGAGATTTGATTGCCATTCCATGCTTTGTTCGATGATAATGCGTAGAGTTGCAATTTGGTCAGAACATGATTTGCCTTTCCTGAATCCAGCTTGTTCTGGTCGGAGTTCTGTATCCAGTGCGTCCTTGATTCTCTCCAGGATGATGCGACTCAGGATTTTACTTGGCGTCGACAGGAGCATGATTCCTCGCCAGTTCTTGCAGAGTCCCAGATCGCCCTTCTTTGGTAGTTTCACCAGGTAACCTTTCCTCCAGTCAGTAGGCACCTTTCCCTCCTTCCAGATCTTTTGCAATAATGGAGTCAGCATATCTGCTGTCGTCTCTGGGTCCGCTTTCAGTGCTTCCGGGGGTATTCCATCTGGTCCAGCTGCTTTTCCAGCTTTCAGAAGCTTGATTGCATTCATGACTTCAGTTTTCGTTGGAGGATTGGTGTCAACTTGCAGTTGTGTACGTGCTGTTGTTGGTATTACTGGACGGGTTGTAGGTGGTGGTCGGTTCAAGAGTCCTTTGAAGTGGTCCGCCCATTGTTTAATCTGTCTTTCTTCTTTGGTAATTGGGTTCCCTTGGCTGTCTTTTATAGGTTTCACTTGTGTTGATCTCTTCCCGGATAGAGACTTGGTTATCTGATATAGTGTCCTCAGGTCCCTTTTGCCTGCTGCCTTCTCAGCTTCAGTAGCCAGGTTGTCGTAGAATTGTCTTTTGTCCTTCCTGGCACTCTTCTTCACTTCTTTGTCCAGTGCTGTGTAAGTTGAGTTCAGCGTCTCTTTCTCTTGTCCATCTTTGCATTGAATCATTTTCTCTTTCACTTTTCTCCTCTCCTCTATTAGTTTCCAAGTGTCTGTTGAGAGCCATTCCTTGTCTTGTTTCTTCTTTCTTCCTAAAACCGTTGAGCACGTTTCGTTGAAAATTACCTTCAGAGAGTTCCAATGGTCTTCCATGGATGATTCCTCAGTGGTGCCTCGTAGTGTTTCCTGCTTTGCTCTGACAGTTGCAGTGAAAATGTCCTGTGTGATTGTGTCCTTCAGTTTGTGAGTGTTGAACTTGCATTGTGGCCTATCCCCAGGTATCCTCGAGGCTTTCAGCTTCACCTTGAAAGTCCCTTGTACCAGATAGTGGTCTGAACCCACATCTGCTCCTCTCCTCGATCTTGTGTCCAGTGGGCTCCGTCTCCACTTCCTTGAGATTGAAATGAAGTCTATCTGGTTTTTGGTGTGTCCATCTGGTGAAATCCATGTTGCCTTGTGTATATCCCTGTGTTTGAACACACTGCCACCAATCACCAAATCATTGAAGGCGCAGAAGTCTGAGAAGAGTTCACCATTTTCGTTCATTTCACCGAGGGCCTCACGACCCATGGTGAGTTCTCTTCCTGTATTGTCTCCTCCCAGTTTCGCATTCATGTCGCCCATCAGGATTTTGATATCGCTCTTTGGGACGTTGTCCATTACTGTTTGTAGTTGACTGTAGAAATCCTCCTTCTTCTCATGTTCTGAGGCGTTTGTAGGCGCGTAGCACTGAATGATTGTAACCTTTTTTCCTTTTGAGTTGAACCTGGCTGTCATTATCCTGGAGGAGATTGGTTCCCACTGCATGAGAGCTTTGGCTGCTGTTGGTGACATCATGATGGCTACTCCCTCGGTGTGCTCGTGATTGTCCTCTAGGTGACCGGAGTAGATTATTGTCTCTCCAGTTGATAGTTGGCTCCTTCCACATCCGTTCCATCTGCTCTCGCAGATTCCCAACACTTCTATTTTATATCTCCTCATTTCTGAGGCTACCTGAGCAGCCTTCCCAGCTTCGTACATTGTACGAACATTCCACGTCCCCATCCTTATTTTCGCTTTCATCGAAAGAAGGCACATCGGCTGACTGGCTTCCCGAAGGCCTTCACCAGCCCGCGTCATTTCACTTCCCCGATTCCAGCGAAAAATAAGGTCACTATTTGTAATTTTAGAATTTTTAATATATTTGTGCGTTGAAGTTTTAGTAGCAATTTGGTTAAGTTTTGGGGGTGGAGTTGCTAGCACCACGCCCCAACCCTCCCTCTTTATCCGGGCTTGGGACCGGCTAGAATACTAGTGACCTAGTAATCTAGGCGAGGTTAAGTGAAGGGGGCACCTTATCTTTAAGTCTTTACTTGTGTACATCTTTTGCAAATTGGTCGAATATCACCACATTCGATAGCTTGTTGGATTCTGCACAGTGTTTCTAACGTTCTTCTGACAATTCTCTTCTTCGACTGCTTTTTCCAATGCCGTAAAACATATTGTTACTTTTCTGGGTTCGTTTGCTGATACACTACTTATATCTGATTATAAGTAGCATTCACCACAACACTATCATCGATGGTAATCCTGATTGTGATGATCTGGATCATGTGGTAGGCAGGCGCATATATTGGGTCTATAAGAACGCTTCTGAAGATTTGGACTTTATGTCCAATGTCGCGCGAACTGGAAGATTTACATGAGTCAACCAACAGGTTAAGAGAAGAGGTAGACAGCGGAGACAGGACTTCAAGTGAATATAGATAAGAGAGAGTTGATGAAGATACCCATTTAACAACAATGAGCATTAATCACTATCGACGGGAGAAATCTGAAAGAAGTCACTTCGTTCATTTATCTAAGAAGCATCGTTTCAACTATAGGTGGGAACAGGAATGAGGATGTCAAGGGTAGGATCGGAAAGGTAAGACAGCAGTCAGGTGTGAGGACAAATACTCGCCGAAGACATTGGCTAGCGGCTGCGCTATATCGTGAATTGGCAGAAGTTAGAATTCATGGACAGGCCATTGGATCGGATCCCAGTGGCTTAATGGTATACGAGCTCGCCTTGTAACCAGAAGGTCCTGGGTTCGAACCTCGGTGGTTGCGTACTGATGAATAGTCCCAAACTAATGCGAAACAGCTGTCCAGTACTCTCAGGTGGTTTTCCAATGGTTCTCTAACTAATGTCAGCTCATGATGAAGTCTTGTAACCAATCAACCAAATCCCTACAAACCAATACTTGAATTTGAAATCGTTTTGAAAATTTTCTGCACTCAGCTCAGCATAAAGAACAAAATTTGGATTTTCAACACCAATGTTAAGTCAGTCAGTTCTTCTATATGGTTCAGATACTTGGCGCACCATGGAACACGTGTTCAACGGACTTCAAACTTGTATGAACACCCGCCTTCGCTGGCTTCATACTGACGATCAGATCGTCAGAAAGAATAAGCAGCAAGAAACTTTGGGAATGATCGAATTAAGAATCTATTGCTCAACAAACATTTCGAAGAAAGTGGAGATGGGTTGGATATAGGCTGAGGAGACTGTTGGATGGCATTGTGCGCCAGGTCTTCGAATGGAAACCGACGAGTTGGGCTCCGGTTCCGAAGGTGTCATGAAGGAGATCGTGTGGCGAGGATGAGGAAATGAAAGCCAATAGGCAATTGTTTAACCAGTTAGTAAAGACTGCAGAGAAGAGAGTGAATAGAGATGTGCTGTTGAAGGCATATGTTCCACTTGGAACTCAAGGGAATGATAGTGTTAATTTGGTTATGTCGTTTCCACATAAAGTCTTACATTGACTGCTTTTATACACTATTCTTTTTGGCGCTAATCACGTTACTTAGATGACACATTCGTAATAATCAAAAGAAACGATTTGGAAAAAACTCACAACTTAATAAACAGCGTTTTCAACGACATGAAATTCACAAGAGAAGAGGAATCCGAGAGCGAAATCCCATTTTCGGACGTCTTAGTCAAGGAACAACCACGGAAAATTACAAACTAAAGTTTATAGAAAATTAAACTCACACAGACCAAATACTGAATTACAACAGCAACAATCCAGTAACACACAAAATGAGTTGTATACAAACACTATTCAAGAGGACCAGGACTTATTGCAGCACTCCCACCTTAAGGAAAATTGAAGAAAAATATCTCATAGACGTCTTCCAGAAGAATGGATATCCACGGAATTTCATCAAAAGCCATCTATCCCTAAGCCAACCTACCAAATCAAAGGCACCAAAAGAAACCACAAAAAAATCTCCATACAATATATAAAGGACATCTCAGAAATCACTGCAAGACTTTTCAAACCTTTAGGAATTGATGTCGCACACAAACCAACAAAATCACTTCACTCAGCTCTATGTCAACCAAAAGACTCAACAACGAAAGAAGATAAAACCAACATCATCTACAAAATAAATTGTAACGACTGAGAAAAACACTACATTGGCCAAAGTGGACGTCCCCTTCGTCTTCGTATCCATGAACATAAACTAGCCGTCAAAAGACATGACATCCACTCCCTCATATAGCTGCATACAGACAACCACGGACATCAATTCGACTGGGACAACGTTCAAATATTAGACAGAGGAAACACCAAGAATGCTAGGAATTTTTAGAAGCCTGGTATTCCAGTGAATCGTCAATCAATAGACACATAGACAGACAAAATTTACCAACCGATAAGAAGGAAATCTCACACACAAAGGATCAAACTTCAGGTCAAGGAAACAATCAGTACCAATACAAGTAGCCTAGAGGGTGTGAAAACACACAAAAACAACTAATCACGTTCAAGTTCACTCACCAGGTGAGATGACTAATAAACTTGTGGAGAAATCTAAGATCTCACTTCAAATTGAAGTACGCGCTGAAGATGTTGCCTAGTAGGGCAATGAAAGCTTCGCGAATAAACCATCCAGCTCAGAGAACACAACTACATGAAAATCATCTACCTGAGCTACAAATCTCCATCATATATATATATATATATCGTGCTTTATATCTTATTCACAAGTAAGGGTTTATAATTGTATTGCGTTCTTCATTGTATTTATTAAAAAGCTTACACCATATTAGAATTCTCCTTAAGTAAATATTCTTGCAGAAAAAGTGTATTCACCCTCTATCTTTTTAAAAAGAAATTCATTTCTTACAATTAGTTCAAATAAGTTTGATTTGTGTTCACTTTCTTTCATTATATTTTTTATTGCTTTTTCTTTGTCTTCTTTTTTCTTATTCTTCAGTTTGATCGTGATCCGGTGATTGATTTTTCTGTTTGGAATACAATACCCGGGTGTTTATTATTAGCACTAAGATTTTGTTTAGTCTTTTGGATATTAGCAGTACTTGGACGTAGACAATTTATAGCACAGTTATGCTCAGAATCGTATAATTTAGATTTATGTATACTGGGACCAAATATTAATACAGTACAATTTGCTGCTGGTTACCTTTTATGGATAATTATTTTACCAATGGTTGTATTTATTGCTGAGACAAGTGTTTCACCTTTATGGAGAAGTAAAACTATCCTAGGTAAGTAAGTGTTGTGGGTATTGATGATTTTGTTAATTTGTTTAATTTTTAATGCTTTTTTTGGTGTTGGAACACTTTGGTTTACTTCGTTACTCGAACTCAGGTAGCCAGGTGAGAGCCTACGGAGAGTTGCCACCTGAAGTGATGACAACCAATGATGTCTGTCAGGGATGCCTACTGTCCCCATTTCTGTTTAGTTTCATCATGACCCTAACTGACTTCAGCGACCTAAGGATTGACTTATTACTAGGGAATAGTCTTGCTGGCTTAGGATATGCGGATGATATTCTCCTCCTAGGTGAAGGCGCTGATAAATTGCAGTCTTCTGAACACCCTGAGCTGCAATCTTCGGATGTTTGGCATGCGATTCGCTCCTGTCAGATGTAAAATGATGCTACAGGACTGGACTACATTGACTCCTAGCTTAAAAATAAGGAGTGAAGTGGCTGATAGAGCGTGTTGACCACTTTACTTATTTGGGAAGTTGCATCAGCCAGTCCTAGAGGGTTGAAAGCTGATGAAATCTCAGCACAGATACAGAAGACTCGTTTCGCATATGCCAGTTTACGCCGTCTCTGGCGTAGACGTGATATCCGGCTGTCGATCAAAGGGCGTGTGTACTGCTCAGCAGTCCGCTCCGTCCCCCTTTATGGCTGGCTGTGAGACATGGCCATTGAGAGTGGAAGACATGAAAAGGCTGGCTAGCTGTCTTTTACCACATACGTCTGCGTTCTATCTCCCGTGTCAGGTGGTATAATCTGTTGATCAATATTGAGGTAAGACCTCGGTCGAGTGGGAGGGGAAATCAACAGACTAGGTTGTGAAGTTATATCGATTGAGATGATTAAGACATGTGTTACGTATGCCTAGCCTAGCCATCGCCTTTCTTGACTGACGGGCAATGTTAGCTGACCCAGGATCAAGTTGGATAAGACTTGGCCAGTGGTGGTCAAACCAAAATGTGGCTTCATCAGTCAATGAAATACATAACAGTTAATTTATGCCACGTGGGAAGGTGTAGACTTCCTGGTTGGAGTCCTCGGGACGGTAGACACCAATGAAAGCTGGAGACAATTGGTGATATGACTCAAAATCGTTCTCAGTGGCGTTAGATGTATTCACTCTTTGTAATTTGCCATGTCCGTTGAACTCTAGTGTTTTTCCATGTTACTATTCTTTCTCTCTCCCTCTCTCTTTCTCACACATTTCTGCTTATGGTTATCCTTTTGAATCGCATGTTTTCTGTCTTTTGTCTTCCTTTGTACGCTACATGGAGTGTGGCAACTGCAACTGGTGCACATCCGTACGAAGTTCTATGTTAGAAGCAGTCAGTCATGTGTGACATCATTTGTGAATGGTATAGATCCTGTGATATCTTAACCCCACTTATCTCTGAGTGTACACTTATCATACCACTTATGATAGCTTTGCATTGTGCGCTGTAGATCTTCGTTTGTAGCCTCCAATCCAAATAGTCAGAGAGACATTATTATTATTGTTTTCTTCAGTTCCTAGAGGAACATAGGGCTTAAGCCGCACGTCTCCATTGCATTCGCTTCTCCGCCAACGTTTTCACCTGGGTGTCGACATCTGCCCACATGCTTTCATCTCCTTTTCACATGACCTCCTTCATGTTACCCTTGCACTGACGACCAACTCGCCGCTTCCCATTCAGGTTCCACTCGAGAGTCTGCTTGGGGCATGATATCACTCGGCAGTCTCCTCAATATATGCCCAATTCATTTCCATACCCTTCTGCATATTTGTTGGGTAAAAGATTTTTGGTTGGTTCTCTGCACACTGCCAGAGTTCTTTGTTGTTTATATTCTTTTCTGGCCGGCCTACAGGCCATCTGATCTTCTGTATCGAGTGAAGGCATATAGCCTATTTAGCTTACTTTGAGCTGACATTGGATTTGCAGTGCAATATATGAAACTTGAATTTACAAGTGAATAGAAAAGGCGTAGGTAATGTGAGCAGAATTTAGGCGCTAGTTAAGTGCTTGAAATATCATCTACTTATTAATTCTGTATCACTCAGCATTATATCAAGTAAGCTTATCTAACGTAAAAAGACATAGGTCAATGAAGATTACTCTTTTGTGTAACTTCTTATCAAAGCTATTCAGTTAAGTATTATTTTTATTTGATCATAAAGAATTCCAATAAAGGTCAAGTGTTATTATCGATCCAAAATGTTTTGAATCGTTTACGAGGAAGGAAACATGGTAAATTGTGAAGCATGGTTAACTAATCTCGTGTGATAAAAAAACCTTTTGAACGCATAAAGGTGGTTTAAACTTTCTAATTGCTAGGGCTTCCACAAACCTTAGGATACACCCCAAACACGTTTTATAGATAGGTATAAAAGATCTGCTAACGTCAATTTTATGTTCTGTCTCTATAATACGTTTCGCAATAGAGGAGCTAGGTCTCCTGTTCTCACCGTTCATGGGTTCTGAAGATTCTATTTGCTTCTGGAGCCATTTAGGAATATGCTCTGAAGCCCCTACTTGCGGAGATCGATGAGTCCTCCCTATGTATGTGTGTTCACAAGTACATTCAAATTAGTAAATACAATGGGATGTGACATCGTTTTCCGCATGTTCAAAGGGCTTAGATGTATATATTGGCTTCGCATTCTCAATTATTATGATATTACCTGCATAAAAAGTCTTTTTAGTATTCAGAAATGATTATTAGAAAAATAAACCCCAGGAAACAGGAATAATTTTGTACCTGAAAGGAAGAGATTCAGAATACGTATAGCATATTTTAAAGGGTTTAAGAGTTAGTTTGATAAAAAATGAAGTTGAATCACATACTAAATTTGTTATACAACATGTAAAAAAAGAGTTTAAGGTTATGACAGTGAAAAGGTTAGAACAGATAGTTTGTATATTTTCAAGAGTTGGTTTGTAAGGTTTAGATTTGTTCTTTTCCGCATTAAATCACGAATTAGTAGAAGTTAGGAATTCATGGAATGGCCATTGAATCGGGTCCCAGTAGCTGAATGGTATTTATTTATTTAAACGCATTAGAACTTGGTACAATATGGCACCAAGAAGGATGCGCCACACAATAATAATAAAACAACATAGATGAAAAAAAAGGAAGGAAGGCAGGAAAAGAAAAAAATATATATAAGTAGAGAACGAATAAAGAGCTTCATCTGGAAGGAAAACACTCATTCTTAACAGGTTCAAACAGTGTTCGTTAACTATCATCGGGAATGGAAGAAAGAAGGAAATCGCAACACATTCGCCATTGATTACGATTCTTGGCCATATCCGATAACGTTTCGAGCCATCGATTTGAGCTATCTCTCAGACCCCAACCAGGGAGTCGTGACACACCAACCGATGCTAATCTAGCACAGAAATCCTTCATCCCACGACGCCACGTCATGGGCTGACCACCTCTCCGCCTTTTCCATCCCGCGCCAGGGCTAGCGAACAGAGACCTGTACGGAAGCCTCTGGGGTGACATTCGCAGCACATGTCCAAGCCACCGGAGCTGGTGTTTCCAGATGACGACATTCAATGAATGGTGATCTCCACTGTGTTCAAACACACGCCGCCGAACCTCAGAATTACTCACGCGATGATGCCATCGAACGCAAGCAATCCTGCGGAGACAGCGGTGATCGAACACGCAGAGTCGCCGCACATCCTCAGCTCAGAAAGGCCAGGTTTCACAGGCGTAGAGCAGCGCAGCCCTCACCGAAGCATTGTATACCCGACCTTTGACAGCCAGGTTAACGTCGCGACGGCGCCAGAGGTGGCTCAAGTTGATGTATGCCACCCTAGCTTTCATTATACGGTTGGAAATCTCATCCGTCACCCCTCCGCCAGCACTCACACAACTACCTAGGTACACGAACTTATCGACAACTTCAAGCGGTTCACCCGCAAGAGTGAGTGCAGGTACAGGCTCCTGCCAATCTTGTAACAGTACTTTGCACTTAGATGGTGCAAAGCACATACCATACTTACAGACACTGATCGCCAACTGAGTAAGTGCGATTTGGGCAGCCTGCATGCCATCGCACAGTAAGACGATATCGTCTGCATACTCGAGGTCGAAAGGTCTATCTCCAGGTAGCAGATCTACACCCCCTTCACGCACATCCTTCAGAGCTGACTCCAGAATGTCGTCGATGGCAAAGTTAAAGAGAAATGGCGAGATTGGGCAACCCTGTCTAACCCCACTGTTGGTTGGGAACAGTGGTGATAGTTGGTTGTATGCCCTCACTCTACCTGAGGTGTTTCTGTATAGGGCTTTCAAAATGTTAACAAATTTCTCAGGTACACCTCTCTCTAACAGACAGTTCCAGAGCACAGTTCTGTCCAACGAATCGAAGGCAGCCCTAATATCAAGAAACACAACGATCGTTGGCCTGCAATACGTGTGGCGGTGTTCCAACAACTGACGAAGGGTGAACACATGATCAATGCATCCACGACCTGAACGAAACCCAGCCTGCTCTTCGCGAATCAATCCTTCGCGTATTTTGCACAGTCTGCGAAGCATGACAGCAGCCAATATTTTAGACGCAACTGGTAACAGACTGATACCCCTATGGTTGTCACAGGAATTACGTCGACCCTTTTTAAAGATGGGGACGATAATGGCTTCGTTCCACATTGATGGTACGCTCTCTGTCTCCCACACCCTCCTGAACAACCCAGTTAGAGCCATTATGAGAGTCTCGCCACCATCTTTAAAAAGAGCCGGGGGTAATTTGTCTGGGCCGGGCGCCTTATGGCGTTTCAGAACTTGGAGTTCCTTACGGACCTCCGCTTCGGTGGGTGGGTCGGTACTAACCGACCAAGGAGCACTCGGGCTAATGATAGTAGACAATGAAGCTGGTGGCCAGCTGAACTGCTTCCCGAAGTGCTCTGCCCAGCGTTCCAGGCGTCTCTTCAGGCTGGTAATTGGAGTGCCATCTGCCTCACAGACCGTCTCGCTGACACCTTGTTTCTTGCTGCCGGTGGCTCG